TCTTTGCATAAACTAGCAGTTAGTATTAAATTACAATATCTATAATTAGAATCATCGAGTCCTTCGTCCTTCCCATATAATATGTATATTTATTATCAATTACGTCAGTATTATTTAGTTTCACCGTAAAACGAAAAAAGCTAACTAAAAAAGAAACTTTCTTTCTATTGAAAATCGCGTTAATTATTTATTGTCGATTTTTTGTACAAATTTTTAATTAAAATGAAATTTAAAAAACAACAACTATTATAGTTTGTTTTAACAAACGAATAGAAAAAGAAACACATTTATACAAAAGGCACTCTCCAATCAAATCAACGTTCTTTTAATTTGCAAAAAACTCACGCGCAATTCTTCATTTTATTACATTTTATCATCGTCAGCTTCAAACAACAAATTAGCTTTTCATTCAAACATCCTATAATTATTATATGCTGCGTAAGCGACGAACGAACCTGTAAATTAATATAAACTGTGCAGAAATCTGCATCGAAAATTGTTATTTAAATGTATAATAAATAGAGTGCTCAGCTCGAAAAAAGAGACAGACCAGACCCTCTACCCTTGTCGCCACGACCCCTCTTTTGTAAAACATTTTGCGTCGGTTTGCGTTTGGAGGTTCATTAAGAATGGGGTGGGTGAAGAGAAGGAAGGAATGGTCGTCGTCCGCGCATAAAATTAGTCAAAAATAGAATAGATAGAGTGTGCAGATTATTATAAAATATGTAAAAACTTAACGCCTAATTATTGTATAATATATTTGCACATATATATATATATATAAATCGCGTTCAAACATTTCAATAATATCGCTGCAATATTTTGGATATTATTAAGATTTGTTTTATTGTTGTTACTTCTTCACCTAAAATTATTAATTGAATCGTTAAAATATCCGACATCTCTCGTAATAATAATTAATTACATCATATTTATATATAATATACATTTTTATATTTATATATATTATGATAGGATATGTGTGTGTATACAAATATTATTCTGAAAAAAAGAGAGATATGTCACATAAAAATATCATCTCCATCATACAAATTTAATTCATTAATTAATTAATAATCATTAGAAATGTAGTTATTGTCTGCATCGACAGCCTTAATTTTAGTTTATTTCTTTCTTTCTTTCTTATCATTTCACTAAGATATATAATAATTAATATTCATATATATATATAAATTTGAATCTTGTTATTTGAAAAATTATTGTCGTATTTTGTGCACATTGATAAATATTATTATTATAATTATTTGTCTTCAGACCAACCAACCACCACCGACATCCTTCCTCTTCTCACTTAAGCGAAGGTAACTTATTTCCTCTATAAATATAATCTTGTTCTTCTCTTCTTTCTCATTCATAATTTACTAATTTTTATATATTATATTTATATATATATATTATTATTATTGTCGAACCACGTAAAACACATACCCATTTATTTTTATATATGTAATAATTTACTGTGTTTATTGACACGTTTCATCATTATTGTCATCGTCGTCATTATTGTCGCGTTTCGTTCGGGATCGAATTTTGCGAGGATTTCTTCTCATCTCGCAGATCATCGATCAATCAAAAACGTTGAAATATAAAGTAGAGTAGAGCGGGAGTAAGGAAGAGGAGGAAAAGGATGAGGTTCTGTGTAGGGAATGTTGATAGAAAGACCATGCCCATGTTGTGTTCGTTCATCGCGGGAATGAATTCCTTCTGTAACTGGGTTAGAAAATGCGCCCCCGCCGCGTATGTATCGATAGGGCGGCGAGGATGAGGAGGCAGAGAGCGGTCAACGCCGTCGTCGAAGGAACGTGACCAACGCCAATCATCCGGTGACCGCTGCTGGTGCTGCTTCCGCCGCCGCTGCCTGATCCGTTCTGCATATCGATGTAGCCCGGATCCACGATGTTGATCTTCCAGCCAAGGTTGTTGTGCGTATAACACTGTATACAAAATTATATATTTATATATTAATAGTCTTTTGATTGCAGTTTTCAATATTACCTGATAGTAGAGGAGATCCGGAGCATCCATGGGCACGGTCCAATTGAGAAAACCGGGCAGTCCGTTGTCGCATTCGAGCCTCAACGTTTCCACGTACTCGGCGAAGGTCTCCGTCTCGGCGGATTTGTCTATGCTCTTGTGAGCCCATTCGCAGTAGCGGCCGGAAGCAGTCGGATACGGATAACCGTCGTGATCGAAGGAGACGCCCGCGAACACCTTCTGCTTTCTTTGGTCGCGCGGCGTCTTCTGGCCGTACCCGCCCTCCCTGGAATCGGTTATGTAGAACGGATGATAGCGGGCGGGATTCGTCGAGTCGTCGCCGCCCTCCACGAGGAACGTGTACGTCTGGCCGCGCTCCAGGTAAAGCTCAGGTATGAGCATGTCGTTTATGTACCAGGCGATGCCCCAGGACGGTTGACCGGTGATCGGAGTGTAACCCCGTTTACCGCCCGTCGGTCCTATGCGCGCCGTGAACGTGACCTCGCCGAGGATGCGAAGCGGTGGCCACGGTTTCGGTCCGTCAGGATCGACGAGGTTCTCCAGGCTACCCGTGCATCCGGCATCATCCAAATCGCTGAAGTTGATCTTCAGGTCGACGGTCGTTTTGTCGGTGATGCTGTGCGCGTTCGCCTCCTTGCGAGCGTTCAGCGGTCCGAAGGCGGCGATCACGCTGACCTGGCCGTCCGTCGGAATCGCCCTGTCGTTCACCGCCTCGTTCGTCTGCAGAGGTCTGGTGTACGTCACGGTCGTAACACCGTTCTTTCTATCACCGGACACTATGGTAACGTCGTCTCTGCCTCCGATCCTCTCGTCCGGGCACACTCCAGATTTACCGTCGCATTGCGCCGTGTGCGACATGTAATAGTCGACCGCCCGGAATGTTCTCGTCTCTGTATCGTAAAAGGCCACCGTCACATCGCCCCCGACCTGAGTAGTAAACGTAATTGTTTGATTGATTATATTTGCAGATATATACTACTACTACTACCATTTGCGGTCTATTCTGAGCACCGCTCAGACCGAACGCCATGTACTGGTCCTCGCGTATCCTCGCCGAGAGAGTGATCTGCACCTGATCGCCCTTTGGTTCCCATCGCACTTGCATGCGCTTATCCAGGAACTCCCTGCAATTGGTCGGTGCGGAGGGCCGGCCCGTCGAGCTGGTCTTCGTCGGTTCGAACAACAGAGAAAAAACAGTGTTACTTGCGGTGTTCGCTATGCAGCAGTAGTAGTACAAGTTGCAGGACTTGGCAGCAGGCGAGTGATGCGTTAATGCGTGCTGCGACTGCTGCATCATTATTATTCAGAAACGCATATCAGAGTACCCCATACTTACAGGGTTGTACCACCAAGGCGGCTTGAAAAAGAAAACAGAAGGGAAAATGGGAGCGCCGCGTACAACGCAAATATTAATAAAGATGATGAACAAGAGATTAGAGCACAGGTATATATGAGGAGTGTAGTCGTCGTCGTTTTTCTATTTTCACTTACCGATATCTTTGTTTGACCTAGGGCCGGCGGAACGTCCAGATCTTTGGGAAGCATGACGTGACCAAAGTTGTGCCTGTACTGGACACACCAGACGGCCAACCAGTCGATGTCGTAGACGGTCAGCGAGGCGGGCAACTGAATCTCGATGTCTTCACCTTGGTATCCGCGCAGAGGGTCCAAAGAGCCCATCTCGTTTGCCACCTTTATGCCGAACGGCGTCGGCTCTGTGCCGTTACCCACCCAGAAGTAGGCGTCCGGACCGGCACCGTCGTAATGCAGATTTGGTATGTAGAAGGTCTTTGCATCCAGGATGCTGATGTTGTCGGAGCGGAGACCGTGCGCCAGACGCTTGAATTCCGGCAGCACCCGGGGCTTTGGTACCTCCAGATTGGGCGGGATGAAAACCTCACCGAAATCGACCTACAATCATACATTTACATTATATATGTCCGTCCGTCCGTTTGTGTTCATTGCCATTTTGGCAATTGTATCTTTGCAGTCGTACGTTCGGTGGTGGTGGTGATGTTGGCGTCGTCGTCGGGAGGCGGCAGCGCAGGTCGATAATGTGATACTGTGATTCCCGGGCCTGGCGTCAGCCACCCCCACCGTGGGGGCAGGGCCTACTATTACAACCTCTGCTACTATCATCACCACCACCACCACCACCCCTCTTACGCTACGATCATGAATTTATATATAGATGTATATGCAAACATATCTATCTATCTATCTATATATTCATCATCATAATCATCATCAACAACAACAACAACAAATCGAAACTTTGTGATTGTTTCGAGGGAACGCGACGCCATCACCACCAATTAGCGAATTCGTTAACATAGAGACATTTTAATGCAGATTATGGCGGAGCGTACGGATGGATGGTTGAATCGCGTGTCGTCGTCTCCCATACAATTCTATTAGTTGCTGTAATATGGTAACAACAATGGAAGGCGTTTGAGGCAGTTGATTGTCGGTTTCGTAACTAAATTTCCGGCTAGTAAATATATTATAATAAAGTAATGAATGTTGCAGTCCGTCATCGTACAAAGGACGGAGGAGCTGGCGGAGGGGGATCGTTCGGATGGAAACCCCCCTTTCTGCCGTCGCCGCCGCCTGAGCTCGTCTTCTGTTCTGGTTTATGTGCCCAAATGGAGTAGATGAGGAAATATTCCGAGCGAGTTGGCCTGGCATTCAGAAGAGGTAACAGAGCGGAACGTAGCGGCGGAGGCAGTGGAGGCGGCCGCCAGACCGCCCGCCCGCCCGCCAGAGAGAGAGAGAGAGAGAAGAGTTGGTGCACATCAACCGCAGTGACACGCTCTAACACACACTCTCTTTCTTTCTCTCTCTCTCTGTGTGTCCGCATCCCTCTGCCCCCTTCAACCACCCACTCCACAACAGCATTGTGCTTGCTTCACTCGACTACCCCCCAAAATCGGGACTCTGGTGAACGGTGGCAGAAAGGGGACGATGAGGCAAAACCCCCTACCCACCCCATGAACGCCATTGTTTCACGGACGTGATTCTAATTTGTTCTGAGTGTTTTCAACAACATTATGCATGGATGTGCTAAAACCCCGACAGCCCAATTAAATTCAACACGCACAACTACCACGACTATACAACACAAACGAACGAAAACGTAAAAAATATTAAATATTTTCTCTATTTCATTATTTGAAATATCGATAATCATTCGTTTATTTCAGATTCTCATCTGGTTATAGAAACATAGAACTTACCGTGAATCGCCTGCACCAGACTGAGAGCCATCGGATGTCCTTGATCCTCTTCCCCATCGGCAGCCTTAGAATTACGTCCGCGTTCTTGTAAGCCCTTAAGACCGGCGGATCCCTGGAACAAGTACGAAACAAAACGCAACAGATTATTTATCGTTCGTCCCTACCACCCCCCCGTTCCCCCATTTCATTCCATTATCTTCATTCTGTTTCTTTCTTCTCTCTGTTTCCGTTTTTTTTTTGTCTGCTTTAATAGCCGTCCGCTATCATCCGCTTTCGCAAAAGGGAATTGGTAATGTATTTAAAAGGGGTTGCCTTGGCGGCACTCCGTTCTTCCTCCCCCTTTTTCGAGGACGAAATATGTGTGTGTGTGTGTAAGAGAGAGAGATTGAACGAGGGGGGAACGCAACTAGATGGACCCGTTCGTTCGATAGCTCTATTTGCATATAAATAGATTGAATTGTTTGCTGCCGCCGTCCGCGAATCCTCCTACTCGTAGTACTTCACCCTCTGCCGTTTATTTGGATACACATCATCGAGATGCGCTCATCTCCAAATTAATTGGCATCCCGATAACATTATCAATAATGATGATGATGATGATCTTGACTACTTCCTCCCCCACTGTTTCTCTACGGAATATATTATATCCATTTACGTGTATCTCTTCGTTTGTAGCATGTTATTATATGCTGCAGTACGTACGTACGTACAGCGTTAAGGGGATTAAAGGCAAATCATTCGTAAGCGGATTTCACCGTTTTCGGTCGGTCTCCATAGATACTAGGATACTCGAAAAGAGCGCGCGCGGGGGGGTGGAAGGAAGGACGATTTTTATTTTTTTGGGCGCGCGCGATTTAAACGTAATCCCCCACTTTACGCTTACGCCACTCTCGGACTATACATTCTCATTCGGCAATAATATGTCGCTTATCGATTTCATTTTATTTCCAATATCATCAATTTCAACTGCAGGATCTGCCACCGCCGCTCCTACTGCTGTCCGATTATCGTAGTGGAGACGGGGGTAGGTTAAGAATGACTATAAATGTTTTATGATTATGAATCGATAGTTTCGTAACGATCATCATCATCGTCATGATGATCGCCCGCCCGTCAATGTAACGTGTATTCCCAGTCGTACGTGTAAAGAATACTGCTGAATCCAAAATAAGTATTAAAAGAAATCCGAGGGATGGAAATGATTGAAAACAATTTCGTTTTCTTCTTTCATCCCTTGGGGATTTTTCTGTACGCGTGGTATACGCGTAACACGGGGGGGTTGTGAAAGAAGAAGAGGAGGAATAGGAGGGTAAAGAGATTTGTCGGTGTGCACGCGTCGACCCGGGGGGTGCTAGCAGTTAATAAAGACGTCGAGCTGACTTCATCACAATTACGACCCTCGAAGCGGCGGCGGCGGCTGCTGCACCCCTCTGGCCGCCCCCCACGCCGCCTTCTCGCAAAGGGATGATAGGGGGGAGGTTTGTATGATGTGTGTGTGTGTGTGCGTGCGTGGAAGCGGTCGTTTTGCCCCCGCGGGAACGTAAACCACCGCCGCCTCCTCCGCCCCTTGCAACCGGCTACGGCGGTAAGTTGCCATGTCATCAGTTACACACCAGTCTAATTCCATGGGATGTTACTACTACTACTACTTTTTATCTATCTCTCTCTTTCTCTCTCTCTCTATTATTAAAGTACTGTCTCTTTCTTTTTTAATATCATCATCATCATCGTCGACGTTGTGTTACTACCCTCCCAAGTACGACATCAGGGAAACTGGCATTAATCAAAAACCATCCTCCTCGTCCCCTCCTCGGTTATTAGTATTTAACCGCCGGAACGAAATGCCTTCTTCTCTTCCTCTCTTTTGTCCTCCAATCCTGAAGATTGGAGTGCGCGCATCGATAAAAAGACCATATATATATGTATTACCTTCCGACGTAATCTTCTGGATAGGGAATGATGTAGCCCTCCGGACTGGGCCGCGGCGAGTTTCCTATCCAGAAGAAGGCGTCGGGGCCGGTGCCGTCGTACGAAAATCCCTTGATGAAGATGGTGCTCTCGTCCACGGCGTAAGCAGTTCCGTTGATACCGTGCGCGAAATTCTGCAGCTGACCAATCAGCACGCCGTAGTAGGGTTCCGAGTGCTTCCTACCGTTCGCTGCAAACAAACAAACAGACAAACAATAAAATGAAATGAAACGATCATTCCTCATTATACGTATATATGATAATTGATGACAATGATGGTCGGTTACGACGTAACGCGCGATGTAATTGGTTCGCTTCTGCTGCGAGAAATCAATTTGAAACGCAATAAAAGTTTTATTGCATTAGTACACACGTCGGGAATATAAATGAGGGAAGAGAAAGAGAGATAATTGATTATTCCCGGCGCCTCCACCTGAAATGTTATTATGTGAATGTGGGATAAATTGATGTGTGTGTATAAGTCAAATGGTGATTGCAAGGAGGGTGATTGGAAATAAAGTATGGATGGATAGATAGATAGATGAAATAGTTCATGTGCGAAGCTGATAAGAGTGTACTCTCTCTCTCTTTCTCTCTCTCGTCTACATTATGTGTTCTACTCCTGTTTCTCTAGCTGCCCCCAGGATCGATATGTAAACGCTAATCCGGCGAAAAGCTTTTGATTCTGGCCGAGGGAGGAGGAGGAGGCCGTACACAATCGTTTTCTCTGCAAATTGCACACAAACGACCTGATGATTCCTTCCTTATTAATCTTCTTTATTGAATACCTACCAATGTACGTACATCCATACGCCAAAATAGTGTGTACTCATTTTGAAATCGCTCTCTGTTATTCTTCATAATTTCCAATGCAAATATTTGTTTGAATCGCGAAATGCAAACGCGTCGTCGTCGTGTCTACGTCGACGTATAGTATCTACATGAATCTAAATATTTACGGATATAGGGGGAAAAAAAGTAGTACAACACACACGCGATCTCTTTCCTTCTCGCTATCTATTTACTTTTATGCATGTATGTAAAGTGATTGTCTCGTTTTGCTTAAATTTGTTTCCTGCCCGATAATCGTGTGAGTGTGAGTGTTTCGAAAATATGATTCGATTCCCGGCGGAACCGAAATAATACTACAATCTCTCCTCCATCACCAGAACATTTGAAGGGGTGGAATTGTGAGGAAGGAAGCATGATCTATCTGAAGGGATGAGAATATGAAAAAAAAAGGAATGAACGTGGGTTTCGGTCGCGTGGTTGTATGCGTGTGTGTGATAGGGAGAGAGAGAGAAAGGGATGTCGAAGCTATAAACCGGCAATAACAGATCCATTGGGAGGGATTATATATAGAGATTTAGTCCCAGGAGGATCGCCTTCACTCTCTCTCTCTCTAACACACACATAATAATAACAATTGATCGATATGCGTATTTTATTGGGTTGCTAGGAGATGTTTTTTTTCTTTTGTAATTGAAACAGTCGATTGTTTTCATTCGCGGCCTTAATGATTTGTGACAAATATTTGCATGTGTTTTTACCAATTTATTAACTAATTAAGTTGATCAACATTTCTTATTACTCATTTCCAAAAAGTGAAATTATGTGATAACTTTACCAAAAGTATCTATTGTTTGTGTGTGTGTGTGCTACAAAGAAAGAGATAGTAACTTTTCGTATTCAGGTTTTATTTGATTTCTCTTTGAATCAGGGGAACGATAGAGATGGCGAGGAGGAGATCAGAGTGGTCGAGGTGGATAGCAGCTAGCTAGCTAGAGCTGTTCGTCTTCATCTCGTTGATCCACTCGCCCAGCAGTCTATACATACATATATAGGACGTTCAGTCCATAAAGCAACGATTCCCTCTCTATAACTCCCTCTCCTCCTACGCTTGAATGCATGCATGCATGTATGTATGTATGTATGTGCGGCTAACACCACCGTATCAACTGGATTCCACCCTGGTCTTTGCACCACATAAAATGAAATAACTGCGAACCACCCCACACCACACCACACGCACACACATCAACCCCAAACCACCCTCCCTCCCTGGGGGAAGAAGCGTAACGAATGAATGAATGAGTGTGAGTGAGTGAGAAAACCGCCGTCATTCCCGCAGAACGCGCAACAGATTTCACACAATTATTTTTATGGCCATCATCAAAAAAATAGTGAGTGTGAGTGAGAGAGAGAGAAACGGAGCACCAGAGTTTGGACGAGAAAACTAGATCGTAAATCTAACGAGCCCTAATTTATTACATTTTAAATTGATTCGGTTTACGGGAGCGGAAATTAAATTTAATGAACTGCCGCATCTCGCATCTCATATAACAAACAACCTCCCCTAAAAACTACATATATATATATACTATAGTAATCGTGATTACCACAAATATTAGTAGTTTGCAAATTTGCTATAATTTTCTCTCGCACATTTGAACTTTCGCTTTCTTCGATCATTCGAGTCGATGAAAGGGTGTGAGTGTTTTGATGTGTGTGGGAGTTTTTCCTACTTCATCTCTTTCTTTTTTATTGCTTCCTTTATTCCTCTTTGTCCATCACACACACACACACCATCCGCACTCGTTTCTATTCCGTATGAAAATTTTAGCATTTCGATGATGATGGAGTTGGGTGGGTTGTCGCCGCTAAAAGCACTTCTCTCTTTCCGGATTTTCGAGATTTATTTGACTGAACGCCTTTCGATATCTGTCTATTAAAGCTAATGGCATCAATCACGTCGTCGGTTCGGAACGAAAAACGACTCGACCCTCTTCTCAACCTTTTCTTCGCTGTTTGAAGGAAACGACACCCCTCTTCCACCGCCACTGCTCCTCCTCATGATGTGTTACCCAAAACATCGGATCACAAAGAGAACGATGTGTCACGCACGCATTATACACCGAATCGATCTTTATTCCTTCTTTTTTCTTTCTTTCTAACCATCATTCATCATATATGTATTCATAAGTTATATTTAGGTGGCCAGGCCAAGCTAGGCTAGGGTTTTGTTAATTGTTTTTCACGTCATGTCATTTAGTAATCATATTTTGGCAGTTTACCATCTCCAAATTTCCTCCGAGTGAATTAAAGCTTCTAAATTTTCAGTGAATAAACCACACCACCACAAGAAGATGACGAAACATCACGAGACTGCAGGCGAGCAACATCATCATCAGCAGCAGCAGCAGCTTCCCCCGTGCTGCGGCATGCTACCGTTCTGCGGTCCTCTGCCGCCCGTCTGCGCAACGTGTCCACCCACCTGCTTCCCTCCGTGCATACCGCACGCACCGCCGCAGCAGCCGGAGATCGACAACTTCCTGGTGCCGCAGCCGAGGCAATGCGGTCCAGCGATCTTCCTCAACACGCCGCTGGGTGGATGCAAGAAGTCGCGCAAACACGATGATTATGCTCAGCAGCAACACTTTCAAGCGCCACCGTGCGATTGCTGTTGTCCTTCGCCGTTCGTGATGATGTGCGGGGACGGTCTTGATGATTCGCGTTCGGAGAGAGGCCGAAGTTCGAAGGTGGCTGAGGCCGGCTCCAAGAAACATTCGAAATCGAAGAGGTCGTGCGCTCATCGTGCAAATTCACGGGAGTTACGCGCCAGCATCCTGTACAGGGGTTGCGATTGCGAGAAGCGCAACGGTCTGCAGGACGACTGTCGACGGACGGGATGTCACGGTTCACCGGAATGCCGGATGCAACCGCCGACGTGCGCCCCCAGCGAGTTCTCCAACGCCAAACATTTGACGAGGCTGAAGGAGCGCGGGATGGAGAGACGCGCCAAGAGGCCGATCAAGCATTGCTGATCAACGAAATGATGTCAATGCTGCGTTTACTGTTGTAACCACATACATGTGTTTTCATGTGAACGGAAATTGCGATTTCCATGCGTGTGAATCCTGCGGTTGCATTATTCCTCTGAATCGAGGACACGGGCAGAGACAGACAGACATATAGTCTGTTGCCTCTCATCTCAGGTGCAAAACGAAAGTTTTTATTTTTGCAATAAAACAAATGTGTGTGTATATATATTACTACATCTCATTTACAGTTGGTAACAGTTGTATGTGTGTGTGTGTATTTGTTGTATGCTCGCTTGGGAATGAACTCGATAGCAACGGGGGAGTTTGTTTGCGGATCGAAAGAGTGCGCGAGAGGAAAATAGAGGAATGAGTTTCAATGCTCAACCCATCTCCTCTCATATATCATCTCACTCCCATCTATATCTATATCTCTCTGTGCATATGTGTGTTTGCTTTCAACTCGAAACTCGATGCGGTTCCTCAAACCCTCGGGCAACAACCCTCTCTCTCACTCCATCTCTCCGTCTCTTCTTCAAATCAAACAAAACTCTCCTCCTCTTCCTTTTTGCACAATCTACCCGCAACCCCATTTTCCCCATTTTTGTTGTTATTCATGCACTGCAATAATAAACTTTTCCATCGTAGGTATGATAGAAGCGCATGTTTGACGGACATCCGAGGCTTCCTGAAGCTGAGCTGAAGTTGACCGGGTACTGCCGGTACGACGGGTACATCCTTGGGTAGAAGTGATGCTGCTGCTGCTGCTGTTGCTGCTGCTGCAGATGATGATTGGAATACATGGGTTGCGGCTGCATCGCGGGATACTCGAAGAAGATGTTCTCCATCTCTCCATCTTCGTGCTGACGTCGCCTCTGCTGCTGCTGATAGTCGTGTCCACTTCCTATGGCTGGCACCAAACTTATCGGGTAGCAAAAGTACTTGGCGACAGGCTGATCTTCATCATTGCTTTCGTCTCCATCCGCCGGACACTTGTAGCAGATCTAAGGAAGCGCACGTACGTTTCGAATTGACTAATTTATTCTTTTTTCATTTATTGTTTGTTTATTATTTATAGAGAGAAAGAGAGACCAACCAGGAATTCGGGATGCTTGTAAGTAAGGTTCCTCGGTTCGGGGCAGGCGCTCACGTAGCAAGTGTACGGATTGGGCAGACCGCCGGGGGAGCTGCTCCTTCGCTGCTCCCCGTCTTCACCCGCTGCCGCCTCTCCGCCATCCGCGCACGACATATTCTCTCTCTGTATTTTACACACACACACTGAAAAAAAACACACGGAATTTTGTTTATCCGCACTCCTCTTACAATTCCACTGACAATTTTGACACGTCAATCGATGATGATGACATCGATTGAAATGTTTATGTTATGTCACATGATAATCGCCCAACTGTTTCTTCTTACTTACAACTTGCAACAAAAAAAGGACATTTCCAACGAAATATAATATTTCACGCACATTAACAAATGTAATTACAATGTTCGTTCGATACGAACGAACATTGTAATAGTCCGTCAAATTGGAAACGTTTTAATGTTGTTGTTGTGCGCGTTTGCTAGCTAAATCTATACATTTATATATGATGTATAGAAAAAGAAGAGAAGAATAAGTGGATGAGAATGCAATGAGATGGAAGACAAATGATGAATGCACGATCGATGCGTCATCTATTGTGAACCTCCAAATCAAACCCATCCACCCCCTTAAGCAGAAGGAGAATCCGTCTGTTTCGGTCCTGCTGCTGGGGAATGGTAGATGCGTCAACTCTCCTCTGCGTTGCGAATAATATCAAAGCCTTATTAAAAAGAGGACGTTCATTCATTACCCTTTTGTATAACTCTAAATACCGAAAACGACGATGACGACGAAGGGTGGAAATTATTTAGGGTTTTTTTTTCTTCTTTTCATTCTTTCTCCTATCACTACATACAAAACAACTCGCTCTCTCCCTTCCTTCCATCTCGTCCACCTTTAGCTCAAAAGACCGCTCGGTTAATTAGCAAGCTGTATAATAAACGCGTACACAAATACACTTAAGCAGTTTCTGTTTGTTTCGGTCAATTACCAACAGAAATCGGAATGTTTACCAAAAGCAAATGTCAAGGTTGCAGACGTTTATTTTTTCTTCTTCTGTTTGTTTTTTTCTGTATTCAACATTCGAATTTTTCATCGAATCGATTCCGATGGAAACTTTCGCTTTCCGCACACAGGTGTGTGTGTGAGTGTGTCTGTGTCTGACCGGCCAAACCAAAGTGAAAGTGTTATAATACATTGCGTCGACACTGTTTCGTGTCCCATTTTTCTTTACGTTCCTTCCTTCTTCTACTTCTTTTTTCACTCGTTGTCAACGTAACTTTCCTTCTTCTTTCACTCCTCTCGCCGCCCCCACCGTGACAAAGCGTAAATTGCATTCGATACAAATCCGCGCAGATTTTCCCAGATTTGCTGCGACAAAGACCGTGCGTAGCAAAAACGAATCTACAACCACCCTCCAAATCCTCTCTCACTCTCTCTCTCTCTCTCTCTCTAATACAGAGAGAAGAGGATTCGTTCGTCCAACTCCTTCCTTCTTCGTCCATTAACTGATTAAAACACAAAACGTTTCACTCTGATTGCACACACACAGAGAGAGAGCAACTTTCACAGATCAATATTGGTGGAGCGTGTTCCGCCCGTTCCATGTTTCATCCATCCATCTATCCCGTGCATATTAATTATATCAATTTGACGAAAAGCAACAAATTATCATCACACATTCTGCAACAGAAGACCTCGTTTCGTGCTCTGAAATTGATGATGTTTTTGGTTTTAAACAACCTCGACTTTCACTTTCGCACTAACGACGTGCAATTGCGGATGTTCCTCCTTGAACCACTTATTCTTCTCTTCTCATGTTCAATATTTCTTTCAATCTGTACGCGATGATTCTCAAAGTTTACTTCGTTCAATCTTCGCAATTCCATCATCATTAAATCTCACTTGGATCATATAAATGTAATAACATTGTTGCAAATGTTCATATTTCTTTTTTTAAATCTCTGACTTGACAAGTAACGCGTAATAGTTACCATTAATAGTTACTTTCTATTATGAATGTTTCGATATTATTTATTTATGTTGGTATCTGTAAAAGTTGTCCGCGTGACTTTTGAGCTTTGATGATGATGCCATGACAACTTGTTTATTTATCAGTTTGTCGGCTGTCGAAATTGCGTGAAGAAGATGTTTCTAAATTATCCGTTTTAAGTTTTACTGTTATTTGTTTTTTTTTTGGGTTAATTGCTGTAGCGGTAGGTTGGTTGTGCATTTTGCTAAACTAAAGATGATGACTACTTGTCACTGCGTCTGCTTCCGTAACGGATTGAATCAGGTGAGTGATAAACTGTTTTGGTTTATTATTGCTTAATTGTAATTGTTGTTGTTGTTTCAGGATGAGGATGATGATGTGGATGGTCGAGGTGCGACGGAAGTTGGCGGCGGTGGTGGTGATGATGGAATGAAGAGGCGGAGGAAGAGGGCGCGCAGCAGGGAGCTGAGGGGCGGCGTCAACTACACGGGCTGCGATTGCGGCAAGCTGAACGGGCTGCAGCACGAGTGTCGTCGGTCGGGGTGCCGGGGGTGTCCCGGCTGCTTCACCTATCCACCGACCTGCGACCCGAGCGCCTTCACCAACGCCCGACACCTGCACAAGGTGAAGAAGTACAGGCTGATCGAGCGACTCACTACGGAAAGACACCGCAACACCGACACCTCCATCCGCTGTTGTCCTCATACCTGTTGTCGCGATGGCAACCAGCAGCAGTAATCCCAAAGCCCCGGAACACCTGGACCCCATCTCCGTCGTCATCTCTTGCCCTCCTCACCGAACGAACACCGAACGCGTGAGTACGCAACGTAAAAAGAAAAAACAGAAAGAAAAAATGAAACGTTCGCTCGCACTAATTTCCGCTCTCTCTCTCTCTGTCGGACGACTCTTGTTGCAGCTCTAGATATTGTTGTTGTTGTTGCTGTTGCGGGTTCTTGAACAAAACTAATAATGAGCGACGAGCATCATTAGCGGCGCGTCGTTGTTTCGCGGCCAGGTGGGCGCCGTGGACTGAGCGGCGCGGCCGGGGACTCCCCCGGACGGAGCGCATCGCGGGGGCGGCGCTTGGCATAGTCGCGCGCGAGCGGGGGGCGGCCTCGATCCGCCAATGGGTGTAGAGATGAAACGACGCCGAGGCGGCCGCCACCGCCGCCGCCGCTGCCAACCCAACCCCCAAAACGCGAAATAACAGTTATCAAAAAAAGAGAAAGAAGAAGTGGAAAGAAAAACGACGACGGAGACGACGCGAAATTGCACCGCATTTATGTAATATATATTTACATCGTTTTAAATACTTTTACGCGAAGTTGTCCCAATTTTTCTTCTCCAACGCCGCCGTGGAGAGAATAATAGTTTTGCGGCCGTTCTATTATTTTCCCTTGAAACTAATTAATAATTTGCAAAATCGTTTCGAACACGACACGAACATAAAACACGTTTCAAACACCGCCCAAAATGTCAAGGGAATTTGGCTGACCGACCATTAACACGTTTATATATTCGGTAATATTTGCAAAAGGATATAAAATGCGAATCGTTTTATTTTTTCTAAATTTAATTACCATTGGATGTAATTAATAGATTGTATATATTTAATTGGGAATCGTCCGTTGATTTCAATGCGTATTTCGCTTTTACTTCTTTCTGTTCTGTTCTGCTTTGTTTAGCTTTTGGATCGGTTATTTATGGATATCCGAAATAATGGCATCAATCGATTATCAATCGGCGTCAAAACGTTAAAAGCTTTTATTTTTCCAGCGATTTCATTTCTCTTTTTTTTACCCTTATACATAACATATACATTATACACACATCCGAAAGCATTAGTACAAACAATCAATTTTCGTTTTTTTATTTTTTTGTTACTGTTGTGTGTGTGTGTTGTATATATGGTCGTATAATTATTATTGATAGACGGAAAGAAGGCGATGATTATATTAATTGGCGTCGCGTTGGCTCTGGCGCCGCACATGATGCGTTTTGCAATTATTTCTAATGGTGATAATGAGAGGGTGTTGTTCAGTTGCAGCAGCAACAAGAGCGGCGGGCGGCGGTGTTTTTGCTGGTTTCGGGGGTGGCGTTGAAACGGGCAAGCTCTCCCCACCCCTCTCCAGCTCCGCAGCCGTCGGCGGTAATTTGCATCATCGTCGGGACCCATTACGGTAATGTTTTAATGCGTGTGGATTACTGAAGATTACTAAATGATAGGGTGTTTTCAGTGCACACCCCTCACTCCCTCCCTCCACCCTCCTCACTCGTTTCCCTTCGTTCCGTCCGCCACCAGTCCAATAGACTTAATGCACCGGCATACATACATACATACATACGCCACATCAGCGAACAATGCGACGTCGTTTGGGGGGTGGTTGCTCGTCTCCTCCTCCTCCCTTCGCACCGTCACTTCCGCACGTCCATCCGTCCGATCATCATCATTAAAGCATAGTTCACACCAAAACAATACGAAAGAGCGAAAAAGAAAACAATAAGAATAGAGAGAGAGAGAGAGATGCGATAAAATCGTGAAAAGTGGAACTGGGGGTAAGGGATCGGCAACAAGTTGCGGATTATTCACAATCCATCCACGAATCATCGACAAAAAATCTGAATTAAAAAATTATTTCCAATATTCGCATAAACAAATTATTCATGTATATATTATATGATTTAGGTCAGCCTTGGATATAAAAAAAAGGAAACTTTTCTTTTATGCAGGCGGTCATTACGAAACTATCACACAATTTTTGGATTTACCAATATTGTCAGCCAATTAAGAGGCGAAAGAAAAAATACGTGTACGTGTGTACGATTAATTTCTATTGTTGTCCGGCGATTAATAGAATTATGGCTTTCTGGCGGAACTGCAATTATGCTCGTTTTGTACAGTTGAAGCGATTTCAATTGATAAAATCATTATGCAATGTCTTTTTGAGAAATTGTTTCGCAGTCCGAGCGAACGATCGAATTGCACTTATTGCTTTATTCCATGCATCGATGGTAGGGTCAAGCAAACGATCGCGTTTTGCGTAACTATGACAATTAATCCGCGCTCGCAATTGAAAGGGCAATCACATTTAAGGCGATTATAAACGGTGACCGTGAAGGAAGGTACTTTGTATTTGCATTGGAACTGAAAGGAAGGAAAGAATGAATGAATGAGAAAATCAACCGACCGAACGAACGAACGAACGAACGAAAAGTTAATTTCCCCAAAGCGAAATCATGGGGTATCGTCGCTCGTCGCTCATCCCCCTCCCGATAAACGTCAAAGTCCTAATGACATGTTGGCTGTCGGAGCAGCATTAGGGGTTGTGAGTGATCCTTTCGTTTTCCTGCTCCTCCTCCTCCTCCTCTTCTACTTCCACCGTTAGCGTCACATTTTTGGTTTGCATCGTCCTCTCGTAATCCAATTATAAACGCCTCCGAAAAGTGCGACGAACAGCAACCAGTCTCACCTTTCTTAATTTCTTTCTTTGAATCTTCATGATGATGGGTGGTGGTGAAGCGCGTTTCTAATTACATACAGACGTTCTTTTCATTTTTTAATTTGGTGAAGAGAAGTGGTGCTAGGACGAAAAGAAAAAGTAATTAAAGGCCGCATCCACTTGAATCCTCCCTCTCTTTCTCTCTCTCAATGTCTATGTCTGTGTGTTGTGTTTAGTCAAGGAGACGCAATTTAAAGGTGACATGCGATATAGTGATGAATGACCCACAAAGCAATCCTTGGATCAGTTTTTATTTTATCAAGTATAGTTTACAAATGTTTAAAATGACATTGTTATTAATTTTGTATTTTTGTTTGTTTGTTTGTTTAGATTGTCGGGGGGGATTACGAGTGCAAGGCTTTGATGGTGTCGTACAGGTGGAAGCACATGTCGATCTGCTTCTGGTTTTCGAGTTGGTTCCACACGTGCACGCAGTAAAAGGGCACGTCCTGCGGTGAGTACAGGGAGCGCGAGTGCTGCCCGAGAACCATGACGTAGATGTTGACGTCGGTCGCCGGGTCCGGCAATCGGGACATCTTGTGGAAGGTGAGAAGAAGCCGACGGTGCTGATGGATACTTTTCGGCTGGAGCATCATGCTGCGCAACCAGAATTTCGAGTTCTCGAAGACGAGGAGACCGACGGTTCGGATCCTGCTGTGCAGAGCAGGCGGCGACCGCAGCAGCTCCTCGAATCGCACGAACGTCGCGGGCTCCTCGAGACGCCGCCACCTGCTGCTCTTCTCGTGCGGCTGCTTCGCAGGTCTCAACTTCATCGGAGCGCAGAGCGATCGTACTCTGTCTTCCTCGTTGCAGAGCATCATGTAATTGTTCAGCACCTTCTCCTCGTTGCTGCACGGAACCTCAATCTCATTCTTTACTTCCCTTGTTGTTTTAGCAGCCATCTGCAATTGAAAAGCCTCTTCTGATCACGGCACGACATGTCCACGAACAACAACAACATTAATCCATTAATCGACGCAAGCAAACGCTGAACCTACCTGAAATACGTTGCTCTGAAATTTCCGTTGAGGCGTATAACTGGTTGCATAATACGATGCATCATTGTTTAATTGTCCGTTGCAGACTGAATATCACCAATTGTTTTCCATCAGACATTTACTTTTCCGTTCGCATTAAAGTTTGCTGTTGCAGAAACATTTTGCAGTTGTAGTGTGTTGGGTTGAGGGCATTTTGGAAATGATGCAAATTCATAAATGAAATGTATGCAGACGTTTATTCTTCAATTAATTTGATTAATTGTTTCCGTGTTGTTGTTTTTGTTTTAAATCGATCGGAAAACACACGTGTTGCATCGATGTAGTAGTTGTCGATTGTTATTATCATTATTATTTATCTTCTTTTTTTTTTACATAGAGATTTCTTATATACACGTACATTGTGAAAGAAAAAAAAAATGAAAAGAGAATTGAGTTGTGGGGTGGAGGGTGAAGAGGAGTGGTTCAATTTGGTTTTTGTAGCTATAAATGGGGAAATAATAATAGTAGTAATAGTAGGTAGAGAGAGAAAAGATGAGGTGAACGAATGATGTGACGACACTAAGGAATTGTATCAACGAGAGGGGGGAGAGAGATAGAGAGAGCTATTTATATATATATAAAACACCTATATACAAATACAATAAATATTTACAGGGGCGGGTGGTGGAGAGATGTTGGAAAGGAAATAATGTTCTTTTATCCGATAATTGGATCTAAGTCTTTTCGGGGGGAGGCGAACCATCATCGCCGTTCGTTAAGGTCTCTGTTGTTGTCGTCGTCGTCGTTACTGTTAACGATGATGCTTCCGTTTCTGAAGCGTTGCTGCAATCGCCCGTCTCCGCGTCTTGCGACCGCTCGCAACTAGATTCCGCTTGGTCCATCGGTGAGGAGCTGCTCGTATGCGAGTTGCTGCTATGCTGCTGGTGATCCTCGTGGATGGGCGTCGGCACCGAGACGTACACCTGATGTTTGTTGCCACCGCTGTCGCCGCCCTCGTGACAGCTCGAAGGGCACTCGATCCTCTCGCTCGGGAACATCGTGCTCTTCGTGTATATTTGGATGGGCCTCTGGAAACCTTTGGAAGAGTTGTCGGGGAACGCGAGGATCTCGCTCTTCGCGAAACCCACCTCAGGGGAGAGCAGGTACTGCGTGAAACTGCCGGGAAAGAATTCGATGCTGTTGTAATTCTTGTAGATGGTCTCCTACAAACAAACAACATAAATACTCGCACGAGGTGGTCGTCTTCCTTATACGATCAACGGGTGTGACAATCCCGCGAACCTCGGTCGTTGGTAGGTCGTAGAAAAACGTGAAAACTCTCCTTACCGTAAGTTTCTTTTTGTTCTTGTAGCTGGCCCAGTTCTGCGGTTCGAGGATGAGTTTGCCGCCAGGACGAAGCTGCGCGTACATTCGTCGGAAAGCCTGCTTGATGCCAGCGTCGCCCCAATTCAAATGGATCCACTTGGTGATGCTCAGGCAGAGGATGGTGTCGAACTGCGGCTGCTCCACGCTCAGCAACGAGTCATCCTCCAGCACGTAATTACCCTTTTTTTTTCGATGAGAAACACAATAATTATTAGAAACATCTAACTTGGTAAAGTATTATTGTTGTTGATGATAATGATGTTGATTCTTGCGATTCTTACTTGCACGAAGGTGACGTTGTGGGGGAAGGATTTCCCGTGGCGCTTTTCGCCGAATCCTGGAATGTCAATAGGCCCATATAGTATTGCCATGGATATGGGGAAAAACTCACTACTACTTGTCTTGGTTGTCGTCGGTGAACGGATGGCGGTGGCGGGTTCGGGTTCGAGTTCCATTTGGGTCGCAACGCCACCCCCATTGCTACCACTACTACAACCGACGCCGACGCCGCCGCCACCACCACCACCATAAACACCTGAGGCGCTACCACCACCACTGACGCCCGCGCCGCTTCCGCTTCCGCCTCCGCCATTACTACTCACGTAGTGCTTTACGTTTTTCCTAGCTATCGCGATCAACCGCTCATCGATATCGATGCCGACGACGCTGCGGGCAGAGAGATCGCGCGCCACCGACAACGTTATGTGACCGATGTTGCATCCGATATCCAGGATGTCCTTGTCCTCGAATATATCCCTATTCAGCGCGAAACATTTCAGTCGCGCGTCCAACTCCTGATGTCCATTCCTATATCCGTAATACCTGAAAAACAACAACAACAACAATAGCAACAGTAAGAAGCATATATTATTCATATTTGATGTGTTCATTACCTATTGTAATTTCCGTACTGGTAACGCTGATCGCGACCCTTGAACTGCGGCAACGCCTGATTCTTGTTCTTTTCGCGATTCAGATTGCGCTGCGTCCTAAATTGCCACGGATTGTTGCGATTGCCGCCGCCGCCGCCGGTGCGTTTGAGATTCCACGCGCCCGGCTGCGGTACAACCGGGCTCACGATCTTGTCCATCGAATACTTTAATTTCTTCACGGCGTCCTTGTGCTCCTCGCTCTTTCGCTTGTTCTTATCCTTCTTTGGAGACAACTCGAGCGTCAGTTCCTTGGGTGCTGCTTTGCTACCGGTCGCCGTCGTCGTGACCGTCGCCGCCGCTTCCGGTTCGTCGGCCTTCGAGGAGGCGTCACAAACTGCGGACGAGGCGACGCTCGCTGCCGCTACGACGACGGCGGCGGCGGCGGCAGCAGCACCAGCTTTCGTCGTCGCTGCTGCTGCCTTTGCCGTCGCGACGACAACGACGGGCACGTTGCATTCGGGTATCTTCGCTGAATCCCTGTTAGACTCGGGTGTTTTCGCCTCGATGATCATCTCAGCATCAGAATAGAGCGTACCCGAAGTGGTCCTTCTCTTTCGTCCTTTTTTCTTTCTGCCCTTCTTCACCGGCGAACAGAGCTGCTGTTCGTACTCGGCATCATCCGCGCAATCTATCAAATTGAGGGGATCGTTAATGTTCGGTGGTATGATCACCTCCACCGGTTGCCCTTTGCGTCGCGGTGGCGTCGGGATCGGCGACGATTTGGGTGTCACCGCGTTCATGGCACGGTTTATCTCCTCGTCCTGCAGACTGTTCAGATTCAGCGGGTCGTTGATGTTACCACCCAGCAAGAATTTAGATGGCAGCACCGGCTTGCAATTCTGGATCTTGCCGCCGCCGCAACCCGAGAAGCTCTTCGAACGCTTCCGCCCGCCACCCTTGACTGACTTTTTCTGTGCATTTTGCGTATGACTGTTGGCACCTCCTCCTCCGCCGCCACCACCGCCGCCGCGTTTCTTCTGCTGCTGCTGCTGCTGTTGTTGCGGTTTCGTGTTGTTGGCCGTCGTTACTGCCTCCGCCACTGCCGAAGACATTTCTGAAAAAAGAGCAACAATAACATTAGAATCGATTGTAGAGAAACGTTTAAAGTTTAAACGAACAAAGAAGCAAACATAAAAAAAAGAAGAAAAATAATTGGATAGAGTGCGCGTGCGCGATTGGACTGCCCGCAGATGCGATTGAGAGCGGGGTACGCGGGTGGCAGTTGTTGGCGGAGGTGCGCGGGAGGAAAACGGTCGAAAACGTTGGAGGTATGGGTTGGAGGAGGGAGCGAAGGGAAGGGGTATCCTCAACAAGGAAAATATGATGGCAGGTCCCCCTGCGCTGCTGCAGCAGCAGCGGTGGTGGTAACGGCGGCGGTGGCGGCGGTTATGGCTACGGCTAAATACTCGCGGCAACGCGCCATTTCCACCTCCCCCTAACCCCCCTTCTGCCACCGTACAGAAAAACACAAGCAAGCTAGCTCTCGATCGACGGTTGGTTCGAGCAAACAAAATACGACGATGATGATGATGAATGGCAGCGAATGCTATACGAATGAAACTCACCCGATCGATGTTGCCTCCGACGTGCAGCGTCGCCTCCTGGTGCGTTAATCCTATACAGTGTGCCTGCAAATCGCCAATAAATTCCGCGAAAAACGGCCAGCGTCTATCTCATACGACACCGTCGAAACGACTACCAAATCGTTGCGGCCCGAACGCCGACCGCCATTTTCCGCGGCCGTCCCTCGTTGCCGGCGCACGCGGTCCCCACGAAAACGCGCCAAATTCAAAACGTCTGACCGCAAAACTGCACGTATCGAGTGCAAACAGCCGCTCGCCAATTGCGCGACGCCTTAACGTACAACAGCGATCGTCGCAATCTATTAGTTTTAATCCAGAAATGCATTTAAAATCGGTATCGACGGTTGCGTCGTTTCGATGCGAACGTAAAATGTGACGATCTGGCAACGCGTCGACGGAAGCGACCGAGTGATAGCGCCCAAACGCCGATTGGCGCAAATCATCGTTCGCGTTTGAACAATCGGTGTACGTGAGAGAGAGAGAGGGGGAGAAGGAGCGTGATTAAAACAGTCGCGAAATTGAGGTAGTCATGGATCGGGGCTGATGGGAGCAACAGGTCAATGGGAGGAAGGTGGAGAGTGTGTCGCACCTACTAATCCAGTCCCATCCAAGTCCGGTCGTCTTGCGGTAGGCCCTTAACTATCATCAATCGCCCACCAACATTTCCCATCCACCCTTCTTCCTCTAACCGGTGAGTTCAATTTTTGCGGTTATTGATGAAATCGATATTGCGCAATTTCAATTAATTAATTTTTTATTCGTATCTTCCGCAAACAACAATTATGTCATTTGAACAAACATTAATATACATACAGATGACAAATGTCGATGCATATGTTTATCGGGGATTTTGAAGTAATTCAGTTGGCAATACTCGCGTCAAATTTAATTTGGCAACATACCACAATTACAATTACGTATACAAAAATATATGAAACGATTTAACCAAGTAATAAATACTAATTTCGTATTAATTATGCGCAATTCGATAAATTAAGGTTTGAACGCACGTGCAAACGATGCCAACCGTAATTGGACGAGCGCGTCATTCAAATTCAAAATAATACTCTTCTCGTTTGTTTTTTTGTTTTGTTTTCCTTTCTCTTTATCATCGTCTCTTGTTTTATTACAATTTTCGCATTTATATCATCTTTTTGTCTCTCTTACATTCAACAACAACAAGAACACCCTGTTTCATAATCATCACATACATATATATGTCACTTAACAGTTTATAATACAAAGAACAATCAAACAAACAAATATTAAACAGTAAAAAAAAAACATCAGGAGAAGGAAGGAAGTAAGCGCAACACAAATGTTGTTATGATTATTGCATTATGTTGATGGATGGAAATGAAAATTGATGATAATTTCCTAAACGTAACGAAAATTAATTCTCCAATTAACAAATAAAACTAAATTCTCTTCTCTTCTCATTAATTGACAATAGTTTTGACATTGCAAATAAACAATTGGAATAGTAATGAAATTTCGATTGAGCAAGATATGAACAACAACAATAATAATGAACGAAAGCGTAGGAAAATAACATAAATAAATAAATATATATATATATCTCTTCACTTCTCCTTCATTTTAATCATAATAATAATAATAATAATAGAAAATATTTGTATTTGTATAAAAAAAAAGAACACGTATGACATTTGTTATCGTTTTATATGAGTGGGGGCGGGGGCAGGGAGATAGGGGCGTGGCGAAATAAAAAAATGGGTGGGCGGTCATTAGTAATTATGCATTATGGTTTTTGAATAGCATAACCATAACAGAAAACATGACAATAATAATGCGCGTCTGCGGGGGGCGGGCGGTCGTTGAACAACTACTAATAATAATAAATAATACAATCTTCTTCTCAAGTAATATGATACAAAATAATTGGTTGCTTTCTGTTTGTTTTGGGAGGGGGGCCGAGAGGCGGTTAGCAGCGGGGTTCCAATCTTTGGGCCAAATTCATAGGGGTTGCGCTCTCATTTTGTTTGGGGGGGGAGGATGGGGGCCAGCCGGCTTCGGTGGATGCGTTCATCTTGGCATTGTTCATTAATCACAAAAATATACTACTTTACGTAGTTTTTATACCATCATCGTCATTATCGGGTTGTAATACACTAACACTTGCGCACCCACACTTATCTTTCGCGATACCATCGTCCTCGAGGCTTTCGTAACACTCTTGGGGAGCGAGGTGAGGCGGGCATTCGTCGCTGCCGTTTAATGTTCGTCCGATGCGGCGACGAACTGCTCCGAAGTCGCCTATTGTTCGTGGATTTTAAGTCCTCTACACCTCTTCCGCCACCGCCGTCCAAGTCGACGATCTTTTGCATGCGCACCACCGTCGCTTGCTGCGGTTCCTTATGGTTGCTCACCTTTGCGGTGAGCACCTTCTCCGCGTTGTCCCATCTGTCCAGGTCGATCGCGCGATCGGACAGCGGTCGTTCCTCTTCGTCCAACGCGACAACAACCGACTCACTTTTTTTACTCGATTCACTAGATTTCTTATGTACACTTTGGTCGGTTAATGTTTTCCTATTATTTACGGGCGGCTGCGGCTGCTGCTGCACTTCCTCCTCTTCATCTTTGTCATCCTCCTCGTCCTCGTCTTCATCCTCTTCGGTCGGTGCCGAATCGTCTTCATGGACCACCTCCTTCCGATGTTTGCTCCGGTTGTTCTTGTTGGGCCATCCGGTTCGATTTTTCTTCTTTTTACGTCCGGGTTTCTTGCCAGGACTGTAACACCTCCTCAGATGCCCGCTCTTGTTGTTCTCCAAGTGTTTGTAGTTTTCGTAATCTTGCAGACTGTCGATAGCGTTCGACGTGAACCTGAGGCTCACCTCCTCTTCGCTCTGGATATCGATGTGATCAAAGTGGCCGAGCGCGTCCATCGCCCCGCTCAAGATGTCGTCGATATTATCACCTCCAACTTTCTTGCGCTCGCCGTCCACCGTCGCCTCCATCTCCTCCGGTTTGCTCTCGGGGATGACCTGCAGCAGATTACGACTGCTGCGCTCGCGTTCACGTTCACGTTTTTTCCGATGAGGCATGAGACTGCTGAGGATGGCGAGTGTCGACGCGTGCTGTCTTGGCGATTTTCGCGGATTCCTGCCGGAGACGACGCCGCCGCCAACACCTCCGCATCCTCTTCGTCTACGGCCGCGCTTCGTGGGTGCCGCGCAGCAATCGTCCAGCGAGTTGCTGTCCTCGCTATGCGCGAGCGTCGTCGCTGTCGTTTCCTCCTCGTTCGAACAGGAGTCGGGCGTGCTGCAACCGCCGGCCGAATTCGACGCGACCTCCTCGAGGATGTGTTTCTTCAGTTGCCTGTAACTGGAGATGCAAACCTTGGGATCGAGCGGCGGAATGGGTCCCATCTCGTACGGCAGCAGAAATGGTTTCCAGTAACCCGAATCGCTGAAGCACGTGTAATACTCTTCGCCTTGGTCCTGCCGCGAGAACGTCTGATACCAAGGTTCGCTCTTGGGCACCCGTTCGAACGCGAACTGCAGCTCCTTCAAATTCAATCGACCGCTGTCGCCATCGTCGTCTGCTCCTCCTCCTACTCCAACACAGCTACTGCTGCTTCGTCTCCTCCTCGTCCTCCTCGCTGCGGCATTATCTTTCTTTGCAATGGTCGTGCGCGTCTTACTCTCCTCCTGCTCTTTGGTAATGGTGGCCGCCGCCCTCCTGCCATCTGCCGCCAGTTTCGCCCCGTTCCCTCTTGTCACCGCCTTCGCTGTAGGCATGAACGTTCCCTGGTGTCGCAACCTGCAATCATCAACAACAAATCCAATTACATTATGCAACCGATTGCGCCAAACCATTTCAAAATAACAATAGTCATAATAATAATAATAATAATAGTAGTGACGATGATGATGATAATTATGATGATTTGAACAACAAAACGAGTAACACATATAAAAAAAACACACTCTACACGTTTGAATTTGACGTGCACACATTTTCTCAACTTAACTTAATGACTGATTACGAGTGAGTGTTTGATTGATTGATAGGTGGATGGTTTTTAGATCTAGTAAGAAAAAAATAAAGATTAACCTCGAGCCCGGGGTTTCAAATTTGTAATACTTTTTGTTATCCTGGATGAAGGCTTCAGCGTGAGTCATCCGTTTCTTGCGTTTCTTTGTCGAAGGGGAAGAGGAACTGTTGTCCGGAGATGATGTTACCTCCTGCTCATCCTCATCCATATTCATAACAATCTGCTCCCGTCGACGTCGCCGTCGCTCATGAAACTGTTCCTCCTCCTCTTCGACGTCACTGATTATCGCCATCGATGTTTCGCCGCGTGCGGTGCTCGCAGTCGTGTCCGGACACACGGCGTCGATGTCGTCATCATCATCGTGTCTTCCTTCATCATCATCATCATCGGACTCGTCTTCTCGCTTCGGAAATAGAAAGTTCTCCGCTTCGTTGTTGAGCTGTTTCAGCTCCGAAGTTCGCATCCGGCGGAATTTCACGATTATTGCAGATTTATTCTTTGCATTCGCTTCTTCCTGCTGTTCTTTGAATGCCACTTTCGAAGTGCTTTGACCGCTGGTCGTGGCCTGATTGACCTTGTAGAACGTTCTCGGTTCGAACGCGATTCGCGATTGTCGCTGACGATTGACCTCATCGTCATCTTCTTGGCGCACTTTTGGCCGTCGCACTCGGACATCCATTTCCTCCTCTTCCTTATCATCGTCGTCGTCGTCATCATCATCATCATCGGATGAATGTAATCGTTTCTGTTTCAGATTGCAGGAACGCTTCGGTCTTCCAGAATCCCAAGTTTCGGAATTCTGTGAGACAGCGGTGGTCGTCTTCTGTACGATGATTACAAATGTTATTAGTAATAGTACATAAATAGTATATAAATATATATTATAAACTTACCGGGGTCGTGTTCTTGTGTGCTGAGCGTAGTTCGCGCACCTCCTTGGCTCCCTCGGGCTTAACGGGCGGTTCTTCGTCGGCGGTGTTCGCGATGAGGTTGTTTGCGAGTGCTGCACGTCTCGTCGTCCTCAGCAGACGCTCGTTAACGATCGGCGCGAGCGGGCAATTGCTTTTTTCTCTGTCGCACAGCGAACTCGTCCTCGTCCTGGGCATCTTCGGTGGTAGTTCGCTCGTCGTCTGCGGCGTAATTGTAATCGTATTCGGTAGTGCGTTCGGAGACGGTGGAGAGCTTTCTATCTCATCGATTCCGTTCGACTTGAGGAAAGACTCCAAACTTGCGCTATCCTTTATCAGCTTGTCCAGCTCCACAAAATTACTCTCGTCCTTGACGAATGCGATGTGTTTACTGTCGAATATGTGCACCTCTATATCCTTGTAATCGATGCGACACACCTCGCAGAATCCGGAGAGCGGCGATTGCGGTTGCAGCGGAAATTGCAGTTCCTGTCGCTGCTGATGCTGATGCTGCAGCTGCAGATGATGCTGTTGCTCTGTGACCACCGAATTTCTGTGTGTTCTCTTGTGCAGCGATGCGATCGTCGCTGCAGTCGCCAATGATGCGGCCTCCTCCTCCTCCTCCTCTGCTGTTGCTGCAGCTTCGTCTTTGCTTGCGATTGCGGCCGCCGCTTCAGCTGCTCCTATTCCTCTCGTAAACAACAGTTCTTGCGGTGGCGCCAGTCGTGGTCTGCGTGTCATATTATTCTGCTCGTCGGCAGAGTAAATTTGGTGGACGAGGCCCTTGCTGCCGGGATGAGCGGCGAAATTGAACGTCGGCCAGTTGCGCAACTCTTTGAATACGGGCCTGTGCTTCCTGTCGAACGCCTCGTACTTGACGTAGGGCGCCTTCAGCTCGACCACCTTGTACCTCCTGTTGTGTTGCAGGTGATAGCTACTGCTGATACGTTTTCGCAACGCCTCCGACACCTTCTCCAGCCACTGGAGAACGATCTCCGCGGAGCACACCTTCACGCCCCACTGTTTCGCTTGCACCAGGGGGTCCTTTGCGACAACGGTGACTGGGGTTGTTTTACGTGCCCTCTCGAGCATTGCATCTGCACGTGTTTTCTGAAAAAAAAGGTAATTTTCATATGTATCATACATATTTAATGAATTTGAATTGATTCACTTACAGGTCGCCCTCCTCTGTTGGGTGCGTTCGAGTGTTCGGGCGTTCCATGGTCGCTATAGGAACAGGACTGGTGGCTGCTCGGGGTTTGGGGGGTCTTCGGGATCGACCCGCCCCCCTTACTGGCGTTCTCCCATACCTCCTTATCGGTCACTACGTGGGTCACCTCCTTCACAAGAAAAAGCTCCAAAACCTGCACAAACACAAGACTAAGTGAGTAAGATACAAAATAATAATCAAATACGACGAAATCAATTCGAATCGAAATTTTCAAAATATTAATAAAATAGATGGGAAAAGGAGAACGCGCGCGTGCGCCCAGAACCGTACCGATTCTCCCGCCAAAAGAGAGAAAGAAAAAAACGATACGCATTCCTAGGCCAAGGCCAATGTCACGCAGAGGTTGGTTTCTTCAACTTCGTCGCGCCATCATCAAACATACAAAGAAGCAGCAACATCTTCGTGCGCTTTAAATTTACGACGTTGCCAAATAACATATACATATATATTTTAAATGCACACACATTCATATATCTATATAGACACAAGATCGGTGTTATACCTCTATATAGATACGCGATGTTGTACTTCTTCTTTTACCCCCCAAATCTGAGATACAAAAAGAAACGTCAGAAAACGTTTGCAGCGTTGCCATCGACACGTTGCTTTGTTATTGTTTACGTAATTTAAATTACTATCATTCCGATCGACTTTGCGTGTGTGTGCGTGCATGTATTTAATATTCGCTCGCTTTTTTTTTCCTCTTCTCCCCGCTCTATTTTCGCCTTTAAATCTGTCGACGGAGCGCTCGCGTCGGCGGTGGAATTTACTGATCGATTCGCTCGGCTCTCTGCGGTCCGGCAACGTCGCTCCGGTTCTACGGGTCAAGGGGAGCGGTGGTAGCGACGGCGGCGGCAACGCAACCCCCCCATGCAGCAGCAGCAGCAGAGAGTACGTTTAACGTTTACTGTGAATGTGTATACGCACATATATATATATATATGTATGCATGCACGTACGCGCACAGCATAGGTGGAAGAAATACGCTGAGACATGCGGCTGCTGTCTCCTTCGTCGCTGTTGCCGACTCCCATATTAATACTAATAAACAAACGAGGGGGGACGGGGGGAGAAAAGGAGGCCAACAACGTTGCATAATTTCGCCGTTGTCGTCTCTTGTAATTGTTATAAAATTTGCTGTTGCACGACTAACTATTCGATCCGATTACAATGTTGTTGAAGCAAGAAGAAGCAAAGCAACATAGAGAGAGAAAGAGAGAGATAGATGACGAAACTTACCCCACCTAGTTCCTTGATTTTGCTCTCGAGCTTGCTTGAGGTTATGTGGCTTTTGACGTCCAAATAGAACCTGTAGTTCTTGAGGGGTTTCGTGCCTGGCACCAGCGTCACAGGGCCTAAGGAAAACACTCGGTTTATATTAGTTTACAGCCTTCTTTGTTTTGTTTGTTTTATGCTTGAGTGTGTGTGTGTGAATAGAGATGCGTGCCTACAGGAATATAGGTTGTTTGTTGATGATTAGGAATTAGTGGATGATGTTGATGATGATGGTGGTGGATATGGAATATTTGCATTTACTTTTATTCAGCTGAATTGTAGTAGCAGTCGTTGCTGTTGTTGCTCCATCGGCATCGGCGGCGTCGTCGTCTTTCTTTTCTCCGTTTGAACTAGATACCATCACTTTGCGGGACGGTGCACCCTGGGCATAATATGTAGTATATCTGTGTGTGTATATACAGGGAGGAACACGCGTTTAGGTCGCGCAGCAGAACGAGGAGCCGCCTTCACACAACAACAACGGCCATTTATATGATATTATATACCACGCACACACACACACACACACCAGTCACTACTCTACTCCACTCTACTCTCTGTTCTGTTCAGTTCTGGTGTTTGCTATATTCGCTCGCGTTCCTTCTTCGTTAGTTCGGTCGAGGTCCGTTCGCCGTTCGTACACTTGATCCAACTTGAACACTGGCAGCAGCAGCAGCAGCAGAGAAGAAAGAAGAACCTGGGCTCGGTGTTTCCACCTTTGTTTTTTTCTTTTCGTTTCCTTCAGTTAGATGTATATGTACGTCTATATGTATGTGTCCCTCGTATGTATCTATTATTCGTTCGTTCGTATTGGATATTTGCCTCACCGCCGCCGTCGCAGCAAGACTTTAAAAAGCTTCAGTGGTGTCCGTCCGTCTGTCTGTCTGCCTGCTTACCTGCCTCGATGTTGGTTGGTTGGTAACGCTCTCTCTTCTAAATCCCCTCTCGCCCCCTCTACCATTCCATTCCATTCCCCTTTTCGTCGTTCCAACTCTAGCATACACGCACTCCCTCTCTCTCTCTCTTACTCGCGCGCACTATTCGCAGCAGCAGCTGTTGCTCTCACTCTCATCGGATCCCGGCAAAACAAACGCGCCCAACAAGCCCTTGCCATACGTACACGCATTGTTACCATAGCCGCAAATTCAACAACGCCGGATTCCGCCGCTTCCTCTCTGTCCCTTCGTCACGCGCGACGCGACGCCTTTGCTCTGACCAAAATGAACGATCGTAGTAACTCCCTGCAGCACCTCCTCCTCGTCGTCTTCGTCGCCATCTGCGTACGTATTTTCACTCGTCCGTCGATTGAAATCACTTCACCTTTCCATGTTCACCTTATTATGTTATGTTTATCTATTTTGATTTTCTTAATTTCAGATTCAAAACAACCGACTCGAAAAGCGACGCACAATTAACCAATCGCATCAGACCGATTGACATTTGAGTCGACCGGTGGCGCCCTCCCCTCATTTCTCTGCCGTTGTAATCGCGCTCTCGGCGTCATTTGGATTGCCTACATCGTTTGCGACGCAGCGAAATAGGAATGAAAATAATCAAACACAAACTTTAGGTAAATATAATAATAATTAATAATTCACTTTACAAATATCAAATCTATAAATATAACGCATAAATATAATAATATGTATAATAATCACATTCAATTTATATAATTTCAAAATCTTCTCGAATCACCAGCGTACATAATCTCTCAAATCACATCGATTCCACGTAATTCGGAAACGATATCTTCTTTTCCCATATTCTAATTTGTGTTTGTTTCTTTCTTTTGCATATTTGTATATATATATTAGATTAGTTTGAGGTCGTCCTCTATTGTTTGTTCGTTGGTCAACGGTCGGCGGGGATTATTTAGGAAACAACGAAAGTCACTTGTTTGGCCGTCGTCACCGTCGCCGCCGCCGCCGCCGCACTCGTCTTTGCCTAAGATTTCCGGCCGAGATTGGTTTTCTGCCTGTGCAGGAACTTTTCCTCGAGTTCACCGGGAATCTACAAAAAAAAAATAAAGAACGAAACTACAACTTAAACTACATCCGAATAAATTAAAGGTAATTGTTTAAAATTTAATATAAGAAAAAAACGCAATCACTAATCCCTTTCGTGTTTCAGCGATTATTTAGATTCGAGAGAAAAAAAAGAGAAATCGATTTGGGTTAATCATTTTATTCAGAAATGTGTGATTCGGGGGAAATAAACTGGAAGAAAAAAAGATAATGTAAGTAATAAAACGACATGGGAGAGAGAGAACAAAACTGGTTACGTTTATTTTGATTAATTTTTGAGAAAAGCGAGTGCTTCTCGATATAGGATGGAGACGAATTGGGTGGAGACAAAAATTTAGATTCCTGATTTGCATTTTGTTTTATTTTTTTTTTGTGCGCAGATTATTGATTACTGGTTATCAATGATTCGGATATGTCGCCGGGTTCCTGAAACATTCGGGATGGTTTTTGATTTCAACACGTACGTAGAGAGAAAGAGAGGAAAGATGTACAACGACGATAGATACAGAAGAAAAAGCAGATTGGTTAGTATATTGTTATTGTTATAATCGTCGTCATTGATTGGTTATTACTGTATTAGTTTGTTTTTTTTTAGTTATTTGTCGTCTGCGGTGTTCGTTTGACTTGTATTTACCTTGGGCTTCGATCTGTGCGTGTCGACGGCTTCGATGGGCAACTGTATGTGCTCCACTCGGCAACCGTACGCGACGGGCGTCAGCTTGATGATCGTGTGCAGCGGCACCCGCAGGTAGGGAAGTTCCTCTGCAATACATTCATATTATTATTATTGATAAGTTTGTTTTTGTTTCATATTCATTCGTGTTGTCATTACCGGCGGATTTGTCTAAAAAGTAGGCCAAAAGGCATCGCAGCACCGCCTGATGCGAGACGACGAGCACGTTGCCCTGCCTCTCCAGCTCCATGATGACGGGTTCGAGACGCGCCACCAGATCCTCGTAACTCTCGCCGCGCGGATAACGGTAAGCGAATTTGTTTTGGTCGCGAGCGCAAAAGTCCTCCGGATACTTTTCCTTGATTTCCTCGTAGGTCATCTCCTCGCAGATGCCGGCGTCGATCTCGTTCAGCGCCTTCCATCGCTCCTGCGGCGCCGTCACCCCGGACACCGTCTGAATGGTGCGCTTCAGCCACGACGTCCAGACGCGCAGACCCTCGATGTTCTGCTCCTTGATGTACTTGGAGAGGGCGCTCGCGTACAGCTTTCCGCGCTCGCTCAGATTCGAATCACCGCCGATGCGACCGTCCAGATTCTGCTCGCTCTCCCCGTGCCTCGTCAGGTATATCGTCCTCGGTGTTATGTGGATGTTCATGAGGTAGTAGACGATGCGCGCCTGCACGTGCCCCTCGTGCTTGTGGACGACGCACTTTTCACCCGTATTGTAGATTTTCATGAAGGAGATGTCGCGTTCCTTGTGCTCGTCCAGCGGCTGGTATCGCTCCTGGTAGTGCTCGATGCGTTTCAAAAAGTCCATCAGAGCGGCGTCCTTGTTCATATTGGTGTAATCGGGACTGCTCACTTTCACCTCCATGATGTTCTGCTCGATGATCAGCGGATCGTCGCACACCGACTCCACGAAGAACAGCTTAAAGCCCATCTTCTGGACGACAATGTCGTGGATGACCTTGCGTCTGTCGACCGTCGAATTCGTCGCATCGAAGACGGCCACCTCGCCACCGTTCTCCAGCCAAAGGCAGACGTCCTGCAGAGCTTCGACCGCGCACTGCGCCCTTATCGCCATCGCCTCCGTGTTGTCCTGCCGGAAGAACTCGTGGCTCTTGTATGCGGTCGTCGCGTGTCTTCTGTACTCGCCCAGATTGAAGACCCGAGTATTGATGCCGATCCAGTTGAGGTAACGCGACAGCTTCTTCGAGATGTACGTCTTCCCGCGAGCCGGCAATCCGACCATCGCGATTACGTGCGGACTGTTCACATAGTTGGCTCTTTCCCCTGCAAAAACAAAAAAACAATTTACTAATGTTGTATTTATTTTACAGATCAGACGGAGGAGAGAGTACAGCATCAACAGACGCCGAAAGGTCAAAGGTCCAAATCCAAAAGAAATATTACTTCGACTAATATGTTCGTGTGTGTGTATATGTGCGTGTGTGTGTGTTTATAGTTCAATACCGATGCGAATCGAGGTTGTCCTCTGGAATTGTGTTTTCCTCTTTTGCAGCAACTTCTCGAGGATGTTATCCTCTTCGCATTGTCCACTCATAGTTGCTGCTGCTGCTGCTGTTGCTACTGATCTGCTTCCAAGACGATGTGCACCAGTGTGTCTCCACTATCAACTGTGTGTGTGCGTTCCTCGAGGCACACACGCCATCAACAACCTCATCTCCCTTTCTCCTCGTCCCGGCATTCCGCAATTTACAGATAGGCCAAACGCGACGCATGTAGCAACGACGGCAGCAGCCAACGCAACGCGATCTGTTTTTTCTCTTTCTTCTCTTTCCTTGATTCATTTCACATAATAATATCCAATCAACACGTCGACCCATATAACATACGCGCATCGCGTGGCCAAAGCGCGAAACAAACACCCGACGATCGCCAAACGAGTTTCCCCTCTTTCTCCTTTTCTCATTCACTCACTCTCTCTAACGCCCGCCCGCCCTCTTGACGCTTCGTAGATTAGATAAACGTCGCCGCAATCGATGTAACAAAACAACAAAAAAAAAACATGATCATCATCCAACTTTGCGCACTTGATTATTATGCATTGGCCATATAAATAGCCCTCTGCCACATCGAACGTTTTATCGATTGATCTACCTATGTATGTATGTTTTTTATCGGCGAGTACCTTTGGACTTTGCGTGGAATCCCGCCAGCGCTCGCAATTTGACATTGAAATTGTCAAATTGATGACAGTGACATTAATGAAATGCATCCGGCGTCCGCGTGCGTCGCATCCCAATATCAAAGTGGGTCGTGCATCTCTCCCTCTCGTCAATCTTGCAATCATCGCAATTTTCCTCCCAAGACATCTTTCGTAGGGCGTCGCATTTGGTCGCATTCATTTATAATTGCAGTCGTCGTGCGGTCGACATATTTTCCATTAGTCATGTAATTTTCCATACAGTTCCAGTCTTTACCGAATTCGCCCCTCCTTCTCATTATCATAAGAATTTATAATTTTTCCATAGCCACGTGGATGCAACGCGACAATTAATCGCACTAGATTCATTCATTCATTACCATCCTCTGAGAATCAATCAATCGCTTTAAATTCTATTTCTAATCCGGACAATCGATCGATTTTCCATGGCAACAACAATAACACGTAGTAGTAGTCGTTGGATGGGTAATTAAAGTGAAACCGTGGCCGACGTTAATTTCCATCGTTTATTCGCAATTGGAATGTCAAATGCATTTGTTTCGAACACACGCGCTTGATTCTTTTCCAAGTGCCGCCTATACATACCTACCTATACATACATACAACGTTATCAGCTGTATTTACTTATTTCACTCTCTCTCTCTATGTCTACAACACATACAAACACTCTTTGTCGATGTTTATTATTTTTACATTTCCTTCAAGGTCCAATTTGCCATTGCTACTGCTTCTTCCCCATAACATTTACAATCAATGTTTATTTTCTTTTACTCTCTCTCTCTCTCTCTCTTTCGCACTCTTCTCCAAGAAACATATACAAATAATTTTGCATATATTTTTTTTTGTTTTGTTTTCGTTACCTATTTCAAAGGTCTCCTTGTTGAGGAATTTCCACGTAGACTGCGAGAATTTCAGTTCGACCTGATCCTGAGGCATCGTGCGTCCGATTACTGATTGCAATTATTACGCGTACAAATTATTCGCAGCACCACCCTTCTTCTTGCTGCTGTTGTCGCCGCTTTTTCTTCGCGCAAACACAGGAGTACTGCTGCGGCGTTACAGAACCACGTGTACACCACCACCACCACCACCGTTCTTCTTCGGGGCGCCTTTTTCTTCGTCGTGCATCGCCGCACAACACGCAGGTAGTAGCGCAAGGTTCGATTAGAAGCAACATACAGTAGGTATGGAAGGTAAATAATACACTTTCTGACCTTCTGGGCGACTTCGGGCAGACCGATAAAACCGGAATCGATCTCTGCTCTCTCTCTCTCAATTTTTTTGCAGTTCCTCTTCAATGAAAGAGACGCACGCACGCACATGCTCTCACGCACGTACAAAACAGACATGCATTTGTTTTTCTGCTCTTTCTCCGTAGACAATTGCAATTCCATCGGAGCGCGTTGACCTTTGTCATATAAAGAAAGAGAGAGAAAGAGAGAAAGAACAGCATAATCATCGTCATTCAATTGCCAAAAAAATAAAAACTAATCAAATTCTGAAATTCCCCACATCCTCATCTTCCTACAAATCTGCAACAAAGGAAGTTTTACATGTGCAGAAGAGATGTATGTCACGCAGTCAGTCAGTCAGGCGGACGTGAATCCCAGCACGTGATTTCCATCCTTCGCACCCCCACCTTGTGATCGGTGCGTGTGCGCTCGGTGAATCATGCATGTTTTTGCGCGCAAAAATTGTATTATAGAAGAAGCGAGATCGGAGGCGGCAGCTGTGTCGATGACGCTGTTGCCTTGGGGATGTAAAAATAAACGACGGCAACCGCTCGGTTTCCCCGGCAACAAACAACAAATTCGCATGACATTGTTGTTGTTGTTTCTCTGTGACGCCGGGCGTCTTGCGCCATATGACTGTCGAAATGTAGAAGCGTCGCGACGCTTTCATTTTTACTTATTATTCGTTATTATTATTTGTAAATTTTACTTTTAAAATTTGTTTACCTCTGATAGGGAATGGTTTTGTCTGGACGGTGGCCGTGTTGGGCGGTAGAAGACGTTTCGCTTCTGGCGACATCAGCGAAGGGCAATCCCTGCAATCGTACAGAGACGTCGACGACGACGATGATGATGACGAAGAGGAAGTGTTGGTAGGTGACGTCCCGGTGGAATTCCGCACTCGCAGAGATCCGTTGAAGATGTCCACACAAGCGCTGCTCATTTTCTCTCTCTCTCACACTCTCTTTAACACACACACTACTATATATTCTCTTTGTTTCTTTATGAATCTATTTATTTTCAGGTTGTTTTTGCTGTTGCTGTATGTTGTTGTTGTTGTTGTTTACGCGCGCGCGTTTCAATTTCGCGAACGTCGTTCCGTCTCGACGTCTGGCGTAACGTTGTCTGCGGCTCCGTCACGTTACATCGGTCGTATTTATATCGACGACGGTGGCTGGCGGCTGTTGGCGGTGGAGAGCGCTCTCCTCACCTTCCATTGCGAGAACCGCGCGCGCGACCGCTCGCCTATGTGATCTTCGACATGGATGGACGTCCGTCTTCTTCATCAGCTTTCGCAGAAATCAGGCCAACGCGAAAAAAAAAACAAACGTTCAACCCCTCTAGCTAAAAAAAAAAGAACAAACAAACGACAATCAATTACAATGTCATCGGGGATTTGGACAGTGTATTAGGCAACTTAAAGAGCTCTCCTCACAAAAAAATAATGTTAATATGTCGTTGGTCAAGCAAATATTTGAATAATTAACGATCTGTTTTTCAATAATATTTATTCGCAATCATCGTTAACGTTCCTTTTCTTATATTATATTGTCGTCAGCAATATAATATAAGAAAAGACTACTAGATCGTATCGCCACTCCACTTTAATCGTTCTACTCTATTAGCGCAATCTGTTGTAGATCTAAAGGTTAATTAAATCGAGCTCTCATTATCTCAATTGCAATTTCGGTTTTTTTGTTTTTTTTTTGGGGTACTTTCAAGATAAACTTTGCTCGTCCCATCTAATCACGGAAATAGTGCAAATACTAATTGCAATATTAACTAATAGTAAACTAACGATGCAGCCGATCGGTTTATTTGTATATTATTTAAAGATTTTAGGAGAAATGTGTAAAGTCTCGTGCACGAAGAGTTGCATACAGCTGTTGTATATTGCGTAATCGATAATCACGCGGAATTATCGAGCACTTACGGTTGTATAAGTGTATATGAGGGAGATGGGGTGAAAATAATAAATCGTGGCTGTGTCTTGTGATTCAAATCAAGTTTAATCGAATTTTAAAAGTTAGTAATACAAAATGGTTAAGTAACAATATAGTCGACTGGGGGGCTAAAAACAAATAAAATTCGTCTATTAAATCAAATTGAATTGTAAAATATAGGTGGTGGAGGGGATAAGGAGGGGGTGGTAAGAGGCCAACAGAATTCGTCTAAATAAATATTAATAAATAGTGACGGTCAAATAATAAACAATAAAGTCAACATTTACAAAAAAGAAAAACAACTGAGGTGGTGTAATGGTGCTGGTGGTGCACACTTGATTCATCATTTAAAGGAAAGAAAGAGGGAATTTTAAAAAGGAAATCGCGTCTGTTTCAGGTTTAGGCGGCGTTGAGACCGGGCGCCTCCTTCTTCGCTAAACCCGAGAGAAGCTTCTTCACCTCGGCGATGGCACGACCGGGATTCAAACCCTTCGGACAAGTCCTGGTGCAGTTCATGATCGTGTGGCAACGGTACACGGAGTAGGCGTCCGTCATCCTCTCCAACCGCTCGCTCGTTGCCTCATCCCTAGAGTCGATGATCCAACGGTAAGCCTGCAAATCATTTGATAATTCATCTCGCTCTCATTCTCTTTCATTTATAGTTACCTGCATGAGGACGGCAGGACCGAGATACTTGTCTCCGTTCCACCAGTAGCTGGGACACGACGTAGAGCAGCAGGCGCACAGAATGCACTCATAGAGACCGTCCAACTTGTCGCGGTCCTTGATGCTCTGCAGGTACTGCTGTTCGCCCATGTTAACTTCGTTCCTGCAAAACGAAACGATTAATGATGATAATATCGTTTTACAGGTGCGAATAAAGTTGCTCACTTCCTCTGCAGCCACGGCTGGATCGATTTGTACTGATTGTAGAAATGGTTCATATCGGGCACCAAATCCTTGACGACGTACATGTGCGGCAACGGGTAGATCTTCGTCGCCTTTCCTGAGGTCGTATCCACTTTACTGAAACCAAAAAAAAACGAATAATTAGTAATCACACAAATTATGCATTTGTTTGTTAGCAGTACGACTGGCTAACCTGATGCATGCAAGAGTGTTGATTCCACCGATGTTCATGGCACACGAGCCACAGATGCCCTCCCTGCAGGACCTGCGAAAGGTCAGGGTGGGATCCATCTCGTTCTTGATCTTGATGAGGGCGTCGAGGACCATGGGGCCGCAGGTGCTCATGTCGACCTCGTACTCCTGCATCCAGGGCTTCTTGCCCGGCTCGTCCGGATTCCATCTGTAGATGGCGAACTTCTTCGTTTTAGCTTGCAGTGCTCCGCTGGCATGGAAACTGCGCACCTGTACATAAATTTTTACGTATTAGCAGCGTGGTTATGTAACGCATATGCAAATCGTAATCAAACCTACCTGAGCGCTCAGCAAGGATCGCGACTGCTTCAGCAGCTGCAGACTGTTCGCCATCTTCTACCGCTTCTTCGTCTGAATCCTTTTAATTTCAATTAAAAACAGAGAAATCAATCCGGAGATCAATTTCAAAAACTTTCTTCTATCACCTCTGACAGCTGAACTTTTATCTCTCTCTCTCACTCACACACACACTCTGACAGAAAACGCTAATTGACATTTCCCACTCCTGGATGCAGGCAACACTATTTACACATTCACAATTTAATTGTCATTTCATCGGACAGATGGCGTTCATCGAACTTTCGGTTACGACCGCTTCGGGCGCCATTCAAACATCCGGTTGTTGCAAAGTTTTCGAAAGAGAAGATCCGCTTCAAGAGAGCATCCTCGTCAGAGCGATCGGTGAGCTTTCCGTTAATTATTTATATAATCGCATTATGAAAAGTTAACGAATATTTAACGTTTCAAACGCACATGAAATCAATATTTAATTAAATTCAAACATTTAACATCGATTTCCAATTTCGCGTTTGTTGATTTGACAGTTATCATTTCATTATTGTCTTTTGTTTCGTGTCAAGATGATTTGATTTTCTATATTTATTATTTAATTATAATTGAGGGATTGGGTTGAAATAATGCATTTCTTCAAATTCTTTCTTTTAATCTGGCTTCATCGTACATATGTGTGTTTTCGTGTGTATATATATAAAATCTCTTCTCCGCATCGACATCTAGCATCATCAGCAACAGCGGCGGCAGCATTCTCACTCACTCGCGACAATCAATCAAACATATTTCCTTTTTCTCTTTTTAAACTGGGAGGGAAAGGCACGATTGCACCACCTCCTCGAGATGTTCATCATCATCATCATCCGTCGGGTGGCTTTTTTTTCTTTCTTTCTTTCTTTCTATAATCTATCTAACTAAATATTATTATTACTATTATTTTGTATTCAATTCTGCACTTTCGTTATTTAGTCTCCAAAATTAACAAACATCATCATCATTAACTACATCGTCGTCGTCGTTTTCAGTGAGCATTTTCTTTTCCGCGTAGGAAGAAAACATATAAAATACACATCATCATTTTTATCACATTTTCTCGTTCGCCTTTTTTCTTACATTTCTCTCTATAGAAACTAAAACAGAGTGTAAATATAAAAATTAAAAAAACACACACAACAACAACAGTACAACGATTATATAAATAATCGTAGGAAACGATTAACATAGAAAAAGCACCATTTCGATCCAGTTTCTTTTCTTAAAAACTTCCCTCCCTCCCAAAGAAAACGATAATGATGGTGAAGCGCATCAGAAAAATCAAAACTAAGTAAGATAAAACTTTCTATTTCCAATTCCCCACTCCCCCAAAAGAAATGATAACAAAATAAAAAATATAATAACTTAATCATAATGATGATATATCTATATATTATTACAATTATCATTTAAATCTATTCGTAATATACATATATATGTCGATATATATTTTTTTTTGTCTGCAATAATAAACACAAATTATAATCATAATATTATAATAATTAAAAAAAAAACAAAACAAAAAGAATATAATAATAATAATAATAGTAGTAGAAAAGATACACACATACACAGATAGAGAGGGAGATGGGGAAAGAAAGAGAGAGAGAGTGAGAAACAATGTACATAAAAATTGGAAAAATAATCATATCTGTTTTCTTTTTTGCTTGCTTCTTTCTTTCTCTGTTTTGTTTTTTTTTTTTTCATTTGATATTTTCAATTAATACGAAATTATGATGTATGTATATATATAAAAAATAGTAATTATTAAAGAAGACAAAACAACAACAACAAAACATTGATGATGAATGCGAATAGTAGGCCGATTTTCCATAGATATATATATCTTATATTCCTGATATATACATATATTCTTCTCGTAACACTTTTGATTGAAAAAAAATTATATATATATATTTCCACTTTTTCATTGATGAACCAATGAACGGGCGAATTATATGTGTTTGTGTGTGTATGTATAACAAATATCCTTCTATATATCTTTTCTACTTTACTTCTTCTTCATTAATATATTTATTTATTTATTATTATTATATATTTATATATAAAAACTTTTAAACTCGAAATGCGTCTCGTGTGTACAAATCAGATCCATGCGAGAGTCCGTTGTCGTAGCCAGGCCCAGGCCTATCGATACAATATACAGCAGCAAGTAGTAGTAGTTGTAGTAGTAATAGTGAGGAAGAGAGGTCTAATCATTATGTATTATTACTTGTTCATATAGGTATAGTTATAGAATATATACGTAGTAATAGTAATAATAGTAACAGTACATATATGTATGTATATATATATATATTTGTTTTATATATAATTAATCGGTTCAATAATGTTATTATTAGTTATCTTCTTTTTTTTTGCAGCATTTGTTTATTAACTTCTCCTCCCTTCTTCTTATAAGAATTACTATTTTTTTTTCTTTTTCTCTTTGTTTCTAAATTAATTGGAGCACCAAGTTCGGCCGCACGCGGTGTGTAACAAATTGGCAGTGTTCGTCGTCGTATTTATCTCGTGTTTAATTTTCTTTCTCAAAATGACGAAAAGATTACCAACAAAATAATAATAATTATAATAAGTAAATTGAAATTGAAATCGGGTCATTGGAAAATATTCAGACTGCGCAAAGACGGCGGATATAAAAATGATTAATCAATAATGTTGTTGTTTTTTGATGCCCAGTTGTTGTTGTTGTTGTTTTTTATTATTATTTATTTGTCGTTTGTTTAGCGTCTGTTACCCCAAGCGCCTGCGATCGGGGAGACCTGGGGCGGCTCGCTGGGACGGCCTCCGAACGAGGGGAATTCGGTGACACTGTCGGTGTTCGGGGCCTGCTGCTCCCATGGTCCACCTGCCACCACGAAACCGTTGCTGTCACGTCCACCGCCTCTGTGCTGATTGTCACCACCCTGGCTGCTCGGTGGGGCGCGGTAGATGTTCAGCATCTCCTGCTCGGACACGTCCTGCATCTGCACGAGTGGGGAGAAGTAATGTATTAATTATTATTTATGGTCGGTCGGTGTATATTTACATATTCCTCTTCCAGATTGAGCAAATGGTCCTTGGCTTCGAGCACGTTCTCCTCGGGTCCGGTGATGATAACCAGACTGGGATTGGCGTCCTCGCTGCGCGGGAACTTGATGTCCACCTTGAAGTCGTCCATGATCTTGCGGATGCTGCGACCGCGCGTTCCTATGAGGCGCGAGTGTACGCGCGGGTCGATGTTCACCTCCTCCTTGACGAGGTCGTTCAACTCGTTGACGATCTTCATGATGTCGTCACGGGCGCGGTAAGTATTCTCCTCGTACCCGGTGATCTTGATGATGTGCTCCTCGGGATCGCCGCGTTTCGGGAAGGTGATCTGCACGTCGTGATCGGCGCGAATCTTCGTGATGACGGCACCGCGCTTACCGATGATCTTCGGATGGAAGTCCGGGTTGACCTCCATCTGCAGAGCGAACGACTTGAGTTTGCGCTCCTTGCGATCGATCTCGATCTCGGCGACCTTCGCGAGGACGGCTTCGCGCGCGTTCTCCGTGTTTTGCGGGGTCCCGGTGATCTTGATGCGATCCTCCTCTTGATCGGCTGGTGATAGAACGATGTGTACGTCGTGCGCGTCCATCAGTTCCTTGACGTCGCGTCCGTTCTTCCCGATGATCGATCGATGTAAGTCGAACGGCACCTGCACATCGATGGTGATGGGTCGGAGATCGAGCAGAGCCTGTCTAGCCGCCCTGCAGTTCTCCTCCTTGCCGGTGATGCGGATCACGTCGCACTGCCTTACCACAACCGCGTCCTCCGGTTCGCCGCAATCGCCGTTCATCTGCTGCTCGTTCTCGGATTGCTGCTGCTGCTGCTGCAGTTGCTGCGTGTACTCGTCCGTGTTGCTCTTGTCGGGGAACTTGATTTGCACGTCAAACTGCGCGACTATGCCTTGCACCTTGTAGCCTTTCGCGCCCATCACGGTGCGATGCACCTGCTGCGGAATGATGCATTCGAGGGTGACCATCGACTCGAGGTCGGCGATGTGCTCGAGAATGCGCAACTTCGTCGCCTCGATGCAATCCTTGGCACCCTTCAGCACCACCTTGTCGCCCTGCACTCCGGACCTGGGGAACGATATGGTGACGCCGCCGCACTCGTCGCTGATGCGATGCAGGATCTCGCCGCGTCTCGCAACAAAGTACTTGTGGTGTTTCGGATCAACGGTGATCTCGCTCTCGGTGATGTTGTCTATTTCGCGGATCGTCGCCTCCAGTTGTTCCTTCGCCTGCAGCACCGCCTCCTTCTTTCCGATGATCGTGATCAGTTCGCGATCCTCGTCCTGTCCGGACGGGAAGACGATACGCGCTCCGGTCGCGTCGCGAAGCTTCTTGATGTTCGCGCCGCTTTTGCCGATCAGGAATTTGTGGTGTTGCGCCTTGGCGCGCACCTCCGCCGTGTAGCTGCTCAGCTGACGTTCGCTCGCCAGATCGAGGAGTTGCTGCTTCGCCCTGTCCACGTCCTCCTTGGGTCCGCGAATCGTAACCTTGTCGCTGCGGCTCTCCGCACTCGGGAATTTGATCGCGACGCCGCCGCAATCCTCCATAATCGAGTGGATCAGCTTGCCGCGCGATCCGATCAGAGAGTTGTAGAATTTCGGATCGATGACGATCTCCTCGGTGACGATCGTCTCGAGTTCGTCCTGGATCTTGCGGATCTTTTCGCGCGCCTCCTCCACGTTCTCCTTCTTACCGGTGATCGTGATCACGTCGTTGGTGTCACCCTCGGCGGGCAGATCGATCTTCGTCTGCGTTTCCTCGCGGATCTTGCGGATGTTGGCGCCGCCCTTGCCGATGATGAACTTGTGGAACTGTTTGAAGATGGGCACCTCTATCTGAAACGAGGACTCGTTCAGCTCCTTCACCACCTTCTGCATGTGTCGGTAGCACTGATCGACGTCGTTCTTCAGACCTCTGATCTTGACGACGTCGCGCTTGTCGTTCGGTCCAGGGAAGCTGATCTGCACCTGGTTGAAGCGTTCGCGAATCTCCTTGATGTTCTCGCCTCGTGTTCCAATGATGCTGCGATAGTGTCGCTGATCGATGATCACGTCACGCTCCTTCTCATTCTCCAACTTACAGACGAGTTCCTCGAGTTCCAGTTGAGCCTTCTCGACGCCCTCGCGTACCCCCTCGATACGTATCTGGCCGCTCTCCTCGATGTTGATGGCCACGCCTGCCTCGTCCTTGATGCGATTCACGTTGACGCCGGACTTGCCGATGATGTGCTTGTAGAACTTCTGGTCGACCTTCATTTCGGTGAAGGTGTAACGGGCGACGTAATCGCGGGCGATCTGGTCGATCCGTTCGTGCACCTTCTCCACTTCCTCGGGCGGTCCCTCGATCTTGATCTTGCTCTCCTTATCGTTGAACTCGACGTGCACCTTCGCATAGTTCTGCGTGATCTCCTTGATGCTCGCCCCCTTGCGTCCGATGATGTACTTGTGGATCCAGGAGGGTGCCTGCACGTCCGTCGATCTCACCGAGTTGGCCTTTTCGTAGACCTTGCCGAGTGCAGGTCCGAGTCGATCGTGCGGTCCACGGAGGGTAATCGTGTCGGTCGCAGAGTCGCTCGGCGGCATCTCGACACTCACACCGGTCTCCCTCAATATCTCGGCAATGGTCGAACCGCGCGGCCCGATCACGTACTTGTGCTGAGACTTGGGTACCTCGACCTGCACCGTGTTGCAGCATTTCTTCATCTTTTCGTGGATCGCCTCGATCTTGGCCTTCGCCATAGCGACACCGTCCTTGTCTCCGGCGATGACTATCTCGTCCTTCATCACCGACTGAGGCGGCACGTTGATGCGAGCCCCGGTCTCGGCGATCATCGCCGCCAGATTCTCACCGAAAGCGCCCACGACGAACGGATGGAATATCTTGGGCACGTCCACACGTTCGAACGCCTTCTTCGACTGCTCATCTGAGGTGACGCGGATCTCGTGTTCCGCCTTCTCGATGCCCTCCTTCGGACCGACGATGACGATGTTCTCCGATGGATCGTTCATCGACGGAACGGTAATTTTGGTTGCAGTCAGTTTTTCGAGTTCCTTCAGCTTGTCGCCCTTCTTGCCGAGGATCCAACGGTGGTGCTCCTTCGGTATCGATACGTTCTTGGACGCCTGCGTCTGGAAGTTGGAGAGGATCTTGCGACGCGCCTCGAGCACCTCGTTATGCTTGCCGCTGACGAGGAACGTCAACGATTGGTCCTTGCCGGCGGAGATCTCGATGTGAGCGCCGGTCTCCTTCATAATGTTACCGCACGAGTGAAGACTTTCGCCCTCGCCGAACTTGTCGCTGTTGTCGAGCTTGCGTTCGGCGAACGGCACACGGAACACCTGCGTGATCACGGAGGTGCCGACACGCAGACTCCTGGTGGCCGCGTTCCAACCGCCCGCGCCTCCACCGAGCATGCCGTTTCCGCCGCCTCCTGCACCGCCCTGCGATTGAGCGGATTCGGGAAGTGCCGGGAAGAGATCGTCGTAGCTGCGGACGGACGGTTGCTCGTAAGCCGCGATTCCGCTGCTGCCCACCACAACGCCGCCGCCTCCGCCTCCATCCTCACCACTTCCAACCTCCATCGCCGCCATCGGTTGCTGCTGCTGCTGCTGCTGCATCATTATTCCTTTAGCTTATTTTCGTCTTCGGGATGTCCTGAGTCGCGCCAAAGTCGTTACAGTAACACTGCAACATACAAAAACATACAAGTAAGAAAAACAATAAACCATTCGTAATGACCATATAATATCAATATAATTGTATACAGCAAGAGAATGCCAAGACGATCATCGTTCCCGGTCACATCAGCTGATAACGATAACAAACAGCGAAACAACAACAACAACAACATTACGGTGAGTACATCCAGCTCTATTATTTTGTTTGTTGTTAACAAATGCTGCTCCTCCTCCACCTCTCTTATCCTTCACCACTTTGGTGCAGTTGTCAAACCGGCTCAAGATGGTGAAGGGAGGGAGAAGAGAATGTGAAAGAAACAAAGAGCATCGGGTTCATCATAACCACACGTGTGTGCATTCAATTAATTAATAACATTTCATCTTTTCATTATTTTTAGGCCACATTAATTACTAGGCCACAACTTTGGTTGTACTTTCTTCTAACATATGTCATTATTGTATTATTTAGGGTCATTTACGTGTGCACGTGCAAATTTCCAAAGAAAATATGACATATACACGGCTACTATTCCCGTCTTCTTTCTATGCATGCGTGTGTGTATAGGTTGCGTTCGTCGTGTATATGTGGCACTGACGTTATCAGAGTCGGCTCCGGTCAACAGCGCGACGTAAACGTGGAAAACATATGGCACATGGCCGGAGGGGGCGGACGCACGAACCAACGAACGAACGGACGGACGGAAAGGGACAAAAGTCAACCGGGGCGGACTGACTGTGAGAGGTAGAAAAAAGGTTCTTTCCAGGTATTTCCAGGAGAAACTATGCAAACGAAGATAAAGATAGAGAGAGAGTAACAATCGTTGCAAAGAAAATGTATGGAATGCGGTGAACGTGGGCTGCGCGTTTCCTCGCCGTACGGCGGGCCGCTGCCGTCGACGTGTCAGATGAGTTGTACACACACACACGCACATCCATACATTTGTAGAGGTGTCGTGTAAGTAAGTGTACATAGATAGATACACACACACATGTGGATAAACGCACACGAGGGGAGCATGCAGCATGAAACGAATGAATGAATGAAATGCACAAGTACACGAGTAGCAAATGAATATATAATAAATAAGAAAATGGGGGGCGATCACTTACTGTACTGTAAACACAGAAAATCCGTCCTAGAAAAACGTCGGTTTCCTCAGTTTCTCCAGCTTTGCTCGGTGCGTGTCTTCCTGCAAACAGACAGAGACAGAAAGAGAGAGATATGTTAGTGAACGAGAAGATTACACATTTCGCAAAAGTGATTTTTGTGCACGGTGAATGTGTATATGATGTGGAATAACGATGATCATCATCGTTTCATCGTCGTCATCATCGAGCTAAGAAAGATAAGAATTGAATAATAACAAAATAAATGACGATTGTACGACGAAGACGACGACGATGACCACACACACGTAGACACACGTCCATACGAAACAAATCACTTTGCTGCACTTTTTCTATTCTATTGAATTAATTGTTGTATATATATATATATATTTTCTTGGATTTGCACCACATCCGGCCGACCGGCCACTCACTCACTGCTACAATTCGACCGACCATCGTCACATAACCAGCCTCAACCGAATCGCACCACCGTCGCATCGTCCTGTCCACGTCCATCGAACAAGAAGTAGCGATCAGAAGACGACGACGACTTGTGAAGATGTCGATGTCTATCTACTACCTACCACATGTCGTCTTCCTGTCGCAAAATACACTCACACGTTCGATGATCACGACGAAGACGACGACGACGGAGGCGGCGGCTGCTGCTGCTGCTGTTTCTGCAGAGGTCGTTGATGAGTTAAACAGAGAAGTAGAGAGTGAGTGAGAGCGGGTGAGCGCGGAGGTGGCGCACGTCCACACGTACCGACTGCCAAGTGGAAAATGTGCCCGATTCAATTCTGCCTGCGTGTATCGTTTCTAAAAATAAACTCTCGTCTCACTCGCACCGCATACGCTCGCACCTCTTCTATCGCACGAAGCAGCCGCCCGCCGTTGGCCGCCGCCACCACCGTTACACGACCACCACCACCACCTTAGCACCACCACGTCAACATCACCGCCACCTCTGCAACTCGAACGAACTAACAACGATTTTAAGGTTACGAGACACACGTTGCCATCGCCGTTCGTTCAAAGAGGGCGTACGCAACACAGATCTCTCCTCGAACAGCACGTGCACTGACAGTTGACGTCAATCGTAGAAAACGCAGAATCGACACACACGCACACACACTTCATTCAACAGATGATAAACGTAATTTATTTTCAATCCAAGTTTACGTCAAATCCAATTGATAAACTTCTGATAAACTTTAATTGCATTCACATCGAATTCATTCAATTAATTCCTAATATTAAACAAAATTGTTCTTTGTTGGTCTGCAGTTCGTCGTCATTTGTTTGTCGACTGCACTGCACTGATGAGTCCCAAGTTAGGACGAAACCACGAGAAAATCTAAATTTGCTCTTTGATAAAATGGATTAATCAATCTCGAAAACTAATGAATTTTTTTTGTTATCAGAACGGTACATCTTACTACGACATACGTTTACTAATGTGCTCAATAATAATAGAGTAAGTAAATTAAAATCAAAGATTGGAGAACTGACTCACTTTTTTTTTTTTAATTCAAGTCAATGTTCAAAGAGTTAATGTATTAGAATTAATATAAGTCTTTACCTAACAAATTGTTATTTCTCTATCGACGAAAACTTAATATCACAACAACACTTTTTTATTATTTTATTGCATAATCCACACATTCCAAAAACATCAAAACACAAAAATTC